CTGCTGTTACCTGCAAAACTATTTCTTCATCAGTTGGATTTGATCCAATTGTTGCTTAAATGTCCTGGACCCGGTTGTATCAAACTTTAATGATGTATTAACGTGTCATTAAACCTCCATTAAGTAATGTATCATTAAATCCAGTTGTACTAACGATTTAATAACGTCGTGCTGTCATTAGCGCGTCATCAACTTAATGAAGGTTCTGAGACATCATTAGCTTGTCATTAAAAGCAAACATGGCAGCGAATGCTTTGGACGCACAAGGAAAGACCGTGTTTTCAGAAAACGAACTCATCACCTCGAATCAATGAGCGACGATGAAGTTAGGGCATGCTACCGTTTTGGGAAGGCAAGCATCAGATACATCTGCGATCTTGTGAGAGCCCAAATCTGCAAGATCGCACGCACTAAGTGTTGAACTACAGGTTAATGATTGATAATTCACTACAAGAAACTCAGCAAGTTTGAAATAAACATATAATCATAGCGCCACATCGGGCAGATTTATAGTGGCAATCTTTACAATGAATGATACGTAGTTCTGCGTGGATCTGCTCACTCACACGTTTGTTGGTAAAGTCATATATGCAGCCTAATGATACCAACCTTGTAAATATATTTCATAAATGAAAGTAATGTAAATTCATTGATCCTTTTCACTTTTCTCCAGAAAGATACGTTTTCAACTTGGCGTTGTCAGCCATGATCAAGGTTTAGATACGATGCCATTTTGTACAGACGACCGGAAGTAACGCGTACGTGTTTACGTCAAGGTATTGTGGGAAATAATTAGGGGAAACCCAGAATTTAATGACAGGTTAATGAAGACACTTACATTAAGGCATCATTAGATAATGTTATGCCAATAAACGTTTGATACAACCGATTTTATGATGCCATTAACTAATGGTGCATTAAGAATTTAATGTATCACTAAAGTTTAATGTAGCCATAATTAATAAGGCTTTGATACAACCGGGTCCTGGGCAATTAATGGGTCATTAATCCGGTCTGGATGGGCCTGCGAGTACTGTTTCTCACTAACATGGGTCATGAGAAATTTCAGAGCCACTCTCCTTACAGGAAAAAAATATTTTTTGTCCTATATCCAGCATTCGCCACACAAAGTTCAAGGTCTCTTCCTTTCCCTGAGTCCCAAATGTTAACTCTCGGTATAGTTCAGTGGCTGTTTTCTCGCGATAGCGCGAGGGTAAACGTTTCCACAGTAGAGGGAGGCAGAGGTCCTCTTTCCCCTCAATATACACCCTGAGAGGTTCTGTAGGGACGATGGCCTGGATAATACCATTTATAATGTTCTTTGGTGTATACCCATGCTGCTCTCCGGCATCAATTTGTCGGACAACATTAATGTAGCTGATTCCATTCGGACCTATCACCCCATGAATCTTTTATACTCCTTTCTGAGGATGACCGGTTTTGAGGGAACAGTACAGTTCTCTGTCACTACCGCTAACAGGAGTGGGGAGTTTCTTCTACCCTGTCTTCTCCTCTGTAGAAAGGTTGTGGATGTACGACTCAAGTGCCATGATCATGATTCCCTTGTCAGCCCCATTCTTCACTGGGATTCCAACTCGTCTGACATTTTCTCGGGTCTTGGACATATCTTCCGTTGTGGAAGAATCCTGGTACGCTCGCCAAAATTATTAGGCCCCTCAACCGTACAGGCTGAAAATATACAGAAAAAAATGTCAGGTCACAAATGTTTATTAGCAGTCGACACACAGAGAATCTGTACTTTATAAAGAAAGTGTTATCCCAAATATAACATTTGTTACATTTCACCATGGGAGCCATGCCAATGTACACTTGTCAGAGGGGTACACAAAGTATGTGCTCTAGACTACCAGTTATCGGACTTTCATTTTGTGGAAGCCTTGGTGGCTGGATGGGTTAGATCGCTGACTTTCTGCACTGGAGATTAGGTGCCTCACTCTGGCAGTGTGGGTTCGAATCCCGGACGGGACTCAACACAAAAAGGTACGAGAATCTGTACTTTACTAAGAAAGTGTTATCCCAAATATAACATTTGTTACATCTGACCACTTTCTAAATGGCATTATGTGTTCACATAATGGAGTTGCCTCCCTTAGACCGTAAATCTCAAATACGCACCTTTTTACCACAATCTTTCAATATCTATATTTCTGAACACAAAGTAAATAACGCCGTGAATTGTGATTTAGCGAGATCTACGATGTACCTTATTCACTCTCAGGATATTTGCTTTGCCTAAAATGACATTGAATGATATCACAGAAGAGGGAATTCAAAACTGTGAACTGTATTAGTTTGCGTGATGTATTTTGGATTTTATTCGACTTCGAAGTGAGTGAGTGAGTTGGGTTAAACGCCGCTTTTAACAATATTCCAGTTATATCGCGGCGTGTCAGCTTAACGTGGGAGGAAAGCCTGAAGTGATGCAGGTCTCAGGCGTTTACCCCTTCGGTGAAACCCACGAGCATGGGTATGGAGCTGACAAATCTAGAAACATAATCGGGGCGAACCGGGATTCGAACCCACAATCACAGGTTTCTGGCGTACCCAAGGGACGCATCTCTGCACAGTGAATCCCTTAGCGCCTTAGACGACTGGGCGACCCGTGACCCCGACTTCGAAGGGAGGGTTAAAGAGGAGGAACATATATGTCGATGTGTCATCCAGGGGTTAACACTTCTAAAAAACACTTTGACATAAAAACAGACAATGTTACTGATAATAATAACAAACGACGAGGACAAGTTTGTTTATAATTATTATTGATTACACGGTCCTTTGGTTCAACAAAGACGTTGGTGAACATTCGACTGAAGCGCGAGCAACTTATGAATGGCTACATTCAGGAAAATTGTCCGTCATAAGCTGACCTCAGATCATCACCATGGAGTAGCCAATCACGGGCCTTTGAATTCGATCTCACACATATGTTTGATACCAGTTATCTCAAATGGGTTTCTCACCCACAGGTGTGTAAGAAAATGTGACATGTTGAATGGTTTCTTACAGTTACCAGGGACATTTGTTGGAGGAAAAGTGATGTTTCTTTAGATGTTGACATTACATGTTGAATGGTTTCTTACAGTTACCAGGGACATTTGTTGAAGGAAAAGTGATGTTTCTTTAGATGTTGACCTAACATGTTGAATGGTTTCTTACAGTTACCAGGGACATTTGTTGGAGGAAAAGTGATGTTTCTTTAGATGTTGACCTTACATGTTGAATGGTTTCTTACAGTTACAGGGACATTTGTTGGAGGAAAACTGATGTTTCTTTAGATGTTGATCTTACATGTTGAATGGTTTCTTACAGTTACAGGGACATTTGTTGAAGGAAAAGTGATGTTTCTTTAGATGTTGACCTTACATGTTGAATGGTTTCTTACAGTTACAGGGACATTTGTTGAAGGAAAAGTGATGTTTCTTTAGATGTTGACCTAACATGTTGAATGGTTTCTTTCAGTTACAGGGACATTTGTTGAAGGAAAAGTGATGTTTCTTTAGATGTTGACCTTACATGTTGAATGGTTTCTTACAGTTACAGGGACATTTGTTGAAGGAAAAGTGATGTTTCTTTAGATGTTGACCTAACATGTTGAATGGTTTCTTTCAGTTACAGGGACATTTGTTGAAGGAAAAGTGATGTTTCTTTAGATGTTGACCTTACATGTTGAATGGTTTCTTACAGTTACAGGGACATTTGTTGAAAGAAAAGTGATGTTTCTTTAGATGTTGACCTAACATGTTGAATGGTTTCTTACAGTTACCAGGGACATTTGTTGAAGGAAAAGTGATGTTTCTTTAGATGTTGACCTTACATGTTGAATGGTTTCTTACAGTTACAGGGACATTTGTTGGAGGAAAAGTGATGTTTCGTTAGATGTTGACCTTACATGTTGAATGGTTTCTTACAGTTACAGGGACATTTGTTGAAGGAAAAGTGATGTTTCTTTAGATGTTGACCTTACATGTTGAATGGTTTCTTACAGTTACAGAGACATTTGTTGAAGGAAAAGTGATGTTTCTTTAGATGTTGACCTTACATGTTGAATGGTTTCTTTCAGTTACAGGGACATTTGTTGAAGGAAAAGTGATGTTTCTTTAGATGTTGACCTTACATGTTGAATGGTTTCTTACAGTTACAGGGACATTTGTTGAAAGAAAAGTGATGTTTCTTTAGATGTTGACCTAACATGTTGAATGGTTTCTTACAGTTACCAGGGACATTTGTTGAAGGAAAAGTGATGTTTCTTTAGATGTTGACCTTACATGTTGAATGGTTTCTTACAGTTACAGGGACATTTGTTGGAGGAAAAGTGATGTTTCGTTAGATGTTGACCTTACATGTTGAATGGTTTCTTACAGTTACAGGGACATTTGTTGAAGGAAAAGTGATGTTTCTTTAGATGTTGACCTTACATGTTGAATGGTTTCTTACAGTTACGGGGACATTTGTTGGAGGAAAAGTGATGTTTCTTTAGATGTTGACCTTACATGTTGAATGGTTTCTTACAGTTACCAGTGACATTTGTTGAAGGACAAGACACAGGTAATACTATGGTTGTCTGTTGTTTAACGCTGCACATAATTTCAGCTACAGGACGAGTCACTACCTAACGGCCTGCCAAGTGGTTTATACTGTTCCATGGCAGATCGATTTTATTTTCATTCTAGTACCTTGGAATCTGTTACGGTTCACAGATTTCTTAACGACCCCATAGTAAAACAAATTACGTCATCTCGGAATTATGCGATGCAAGGGAAGGGGGAGTCGGTTGACCATCAGCAAATAATGCCGCGTTGAGTTTTAACTGTTATTGATCACCCCGTCATTTTTGTGAATGCGATACAAGGGAAGGGAGAGTCAGTTGACCAACCGCAAATAATGCCGCGTTGAGTGTTAATTGTTATTGATCACCCCGTCATTTCTGTGTCCGTCGGGCGTGTAACTTTCTCACATTATTTTATGTTTGATTCCTGCAGGGTATTACGAGTTCAAAGTTCAGCTGGAAGCAGGCAGCTCTGGCGGGTATTCCTTCTGCTTGGTGTGCGAGGGCGTCGTCAAGTCGGAGCTGTCCATTCAACGTGTATGGAGCAGCAAGTTCACGAGCGCCATCTTCCACGTCAACGCTGGGGAACACGTGCTCGTCAGGAAGACCGTCCATGGCGGTGCCACCCGCATTGCAGCTGGAGCGCGAACACAGTTCTCCGGCTACCTGCTTCGAAGTGACTGACAGACCTGAGAATCACGGAGATGTGCCTGTCTGCTGCTGTATTAAAACACAGTATTACCCTACACAATGACTTTGTCCGTTTATGTGATGTGCTTACGTGACCTCAGTACAGAAGATATATGTTTCTGTTATTTAATTATCGGAGTAGTGTCATTACTAGTCTCTCACACAGTCCCTGAACCAGGTCCTTTTCCTTTCGCCCAGCCTTTACTGTAATGCTAAAACCCTAAATGAAGCAAGTCTAGGTTCAGGTTCCAAATTCAGGACTCCTTTTCAATTTAAAAGCAGTTGCTTGTTTCTATCCAAATTATAGTTTCAGACACGCAGCGTTAGTTTATGTCATGACCATCAAAAGAGTTAATTTGATCCTTAGTCTTCTGTTCTCCTCTGAAATTGTATTCTCCTCCACCGATATGGTGGTAACCAACACTTCAGTCTCCCATCAGTTTATCATAAACATCATTTGGGCGCCACGCTCCCAAGATCTTCTCCAGGAGCGCCTTTTTTAATTCAACCATGGGTGAAATGTTGTTGTCACATATCAAAAGCAGATCTAATTATAAGGAATGTCAGTACATTTAAGAATTGACCTTCACTTTGTGTGAGTTCATTGGAGTTTGAACCTTCATAGAGTGAGGGCCAAACATACAGTTTGGACCTCACTCTATGAAGGTTCAAATTCCAATGGGTGTGAGTGAGTTCGGTTTTACGCCGCGTTTAGCAATATTCCAGCAATATCAGGCGGGGGACACCAGAAATGGGCTTCACACATTGTACCCATGTCGAGAATCGAACCCGGGCCTTCGGCGTGACGAGCTAACGCTTTAACCACTAGGCTACCCGACCGCCCCCATACTCCAATGAACTCACACAAAGTGAAAGTCAATTCTTATAAAAAAATATCACAATTTCTTACCTCAAAGGATGTAGGCCAAGATCTAAACACAATTTTATTTAGTACGTGTGACTTCATGTTTATACTGAAAGCCATACAACAACCAGCTATATCGCGGAGTAAAATAGTTCCTCAAAAAGAGAGGTGACATTGGCGTTTGGATGCACAACTTGCTCTTCAGAAACATCTTACGCAGCACATGTGTTCAAATCATAACCTCATTAGATGAGAAAGGTCTGTAAAGAACTTCCTCAGTAAGTCAGTCACAATGACAGCGCGTCGTAATACATTTACATCAAGTACAAGACGTCAAAATGGCCGACACGATAAACGTGACGGGAGTGATTTACGAAGTTGTTAATGAACCTGTGGCGTTTACATGTGTTAGTCATAATTGATCAACTGGCCGATCATTGAAAGATGAATAAAGATGCGTCAAACAGACACTAAGGTAAATTCATAGATTGCTGGAGACGATCAATGTCAGCCTAGACACGGATCAAGTCGACACTACGATAGTTTGGATGAGCATTTCTTCGTTTGTTCATTAGGATGGGCCACAGCGAGGATATTCGTGAACAATCATGCAGTCGCGCTCTCTGACATTTCTCAACGTATACTGAAACGCTGAGACCAAGAATAAAGGTTCTAACTGATCATAAAGAACGCTTATGTATGTTTTCGTGCTAGGGAATTCCCAGGGATTTCCCCAGGAATGTGGAAGTAGTCCGTCAGTGTTGACGTCATTTCAAGAACACGATCTCGCGAAAAACGTTTGAACGTCAAATTGTGTCGTTCATACACTTATGAACGTCAATTTCGCGGTCATGTGACCGACCTTTCGTCCAATGGAAAAGCCGTATATCGTGTAAACTTCAAATTACAAAATTATATTACAAATAACGGAAAACCCTTTTGAGGAAGAGAATGTATGGATGTCAACTTCTTTATCACGATGAGCACAACATTTCAGGTGGCACTTACTCCGAAACGTTGTGTTCCTCATAATAAAGAAGTTGACATCCATACATTATCTTCCTAATGTCACTTCTATATGCCTTTCAAAGACGTAAAGCCCTTTCGCTTGAGTCAATTTATCAAGATCAATAGTACTGCTTCACACAAGGTCAAATGGAATTGCTAGTAGCAAGGTTAAACAACGTCAATATATACACCAGTTGGTAGCAAGGTTAAACATCGTCCATACATACTTCAGTTGCTAGCTAGGTTAAACAACGTCAATATATACTTCAGTTGCTAGCTAGGTTAAACAACGTCAATATATACTTCAGTTGCTAGCTAGGTTAAACAACGTCAATATATACTTCAGTTCGTAGAAAGGTTAAAAAACGTCAATAAATACTTCAGTTGCTAGCAAGGTTAAACAACGTCAATATATACTTCAGTTGCTAGCAAGGTTAAACAACGTCAATATATACTTCAGTTGCTAGCTAGGTTAATTAAAGTCAATATAAACATCAGATGCTAGCCTGGTTAAACAACGTCAATAAATACTTCAGTTGCTAGCTAGATTAAACAACGTCAATATATACTTCAGTTGCTAGGAAGGTTAAACAACGTCAATATATACTTCAGTTGCTGGCTAGGTTAAACAACGTCAATACATACTTCAGTTGCTGGCTAGGTTAAACAACGTCAATATATACTTCAGTTGCTGGCAAGGTTAAACGACGTCAATATATACTTCAGTTGCTAGCTAGGTTAAACAACGTCAATATATACTTCAGTTGCTAGCTAGGTTAAACAACGTCAATACATACTTCAGTTGCTAGCTAGGTTAAACAACGTCAATATATACTTCAGTTGCTAGGAAGGTTAAACAACGTCAATATATACTTCAGTTGCTAGGAAGGTTAAACAACGTCAATACATACTTCAGTTGCTAGGGAGGTTAAACAACGTCAATATATACTTCAGTTGCTAGGAAGGTTAAACAACGTCAATATATACTTCAGTTGCTAGCTAGGTTAAACAACGTCAATACATACTTCAGTTGCTAGCTAGATTAAACAACGTCAATATATACTTCAGTTGCTAGCTAGATTAAACAACGTCAATATATACTTCAGTTGCTAGCTAGGTTAAACAACGTCAATACATACTTCAGTTGCTAGCTAGGTTAAACAACGTCAATATATACTTCAGTTGCTAGGAATGTTAAACAACGTCAATATATACTTCAGTTGCTAGGAAGGTTAAACAACGTCAGTATATACTTCAGTTGCTAGGAAGGTTAAACAACGTCAATATATACTTCAGTTGCTAGCTAGATTAAACAACGTCAATATATACTTCAGTTGCTAGCTAGGTTAAACAACGTCAATACATACTTCAGTTGCTAGCTAGATTTAACAACGTCAATATATACTTCAGTTGCTAGGAAGGTTAAACAACGTCAATATATACTTCAGTTGCTAGGAAGGTTAAACAACGTCAGTATATACTTCAGTTGCTAGCTAGGTTAAACAACGTCAATATAAACATCAGTTGCTAGCTAGGTTAAACAACGTCAATATATACTTCAGTTCGTAGAAAGGTTAAACAACGTCAATAAATACTTCAGTTGCTAGCAAGGTTAAACGACGTCAATATATACTTCAGTTGCTAGCAAGGTAAAACAACGTCAATATATACTTCAGTTGCTAGCAAGGTTAAACAACGTCAATATATACTTCAGTTGCAAGCTAGGTTAAACAACCTCAATACATACTTCAGTTGCTAGCTAGGTTAAAAAAAGTCAATATAAACATCAGTTGCTAGCAAGGTTAAACAACGTCAATATATACTTCAGTTGCTAGCAAGGTTAAACAAAGTCAATATACACTTCGGTTCCTGGTTAAACTGACTCATGAACAGAAGATCTATAAACTTCCTTGAAACATCTTGCCCTGACGGCGTGTCATTTTCCCCTGACGACTTGTCATCCTGCCCTGATGGCGTTTCATGTTGCCCTGAAAGCGTGTCATTTTCCCCTGACGACTTGTCATGTTGCCCTGATGGCGTGTCATCTTGCCTGATGGCGTGTCATTATCCCCTGACGACTTGTCATCTTGCCCTTAAGACGAGTCATGTTGCCCTGATGGCGTGTCATCTTGCCTGACAGCGTGTTATTTTCCCCTGACGACTTGTCATCTTGCCCTGATGGCGTGTCATATTGCCCTGATGGCGTGTCACGTTGCCCTGACAGCGTGTCATTTTCCCCTGACGACTTGTCATTTTCCCCTGACGGCTTGTCATCTTGCCCTGATGGCGTGTCATGTTGCCCTGACGGCGTGTCATCTTGCCATGATGGCGTGTCATGTTGCCCTGATGGCGTGTCATTTTCCCCTAACCACTTGTCATCTTGCCCTGACGGCGTGTCGTTTTCCCCTGATGACTTGTAATGTTGCCCTGATGGCGTGCCATTATCCCCTGACGGCGTGTCGTTTTCCCCTGATGACTTGTAATGTTGCCCTGATGGCGTGTCATTATCCCCTGACGGCGTGTCATTTTCCCCTGATGACTTATAATGTTGCCCTGATGGCGTGTCATTATCCCCTGACGACTTGTCATGTTGCCCTGATGGCGTGTTATGTTGCCCTGATGGCGTGTCATGTTGCCCTGATGGCGTGTCATGTTGCCCTGACAGCGTGTCATCTTCCCCTGAAAACTTGTCATGTTGCCCTGATGGCGTGTCATGTTGCCCTGACAATCAGTCATTTTCCCCTGACGATTTGTCATGTTGCCCTGATGGCGTGTCATGTTGCACTGACAACGTGTCATTTTCCCCTGACGACTTGTCATGTTGCCCTGATTGCGTGTCATCTTGCCCTGATGGCGTGTTATGTTGCCCTGATGGCGTGTCATTTTCCCCTGACGACTTGTCATCTTGCCCTGATGGCGTTTCATGTTGCCCTGATGGCGTGTCATTTTCCCCCTGACGACTTGTCATCCTGCCCTGATGGCGTGTCATTTTCCTCTGACGACTTGTCATGTTGCCCTGATGGCGTGTCATGTTGACCTGATGGCGTGTCATGTTGCCCTGATGACTTGTCATGTTGCCTGACAGCGTGTCATGTTGCCCTAATGGCGTGTCATCTTGCCTTGACGGCGTGTACCCATTGTTTGTTTCTTTCAGTGATTGGTTTCTCTGCTAAGGGTCTATTGTTTTCAGACCGCCATGATATTACAGGAACCTTGTTGACTGTTGAGTTCACTTCCTTATGATACTATTTATTTCCTGAGAACTCCAGTCTCTCTAATAAGCGCTGCGATGGTAATCCCACTATCGTACAGCTAATGTCCGGTTTCAATACATCCTATTTAAGCCAGAGCTGATATTTGTTGCTCTTAAACATCTTAAAACAATGCACAAACTAGATCTGTCGTTAGACGGAAGATGATAGGTGAAACGACCTTGCGGTGTCGCGTCTCTATCGAATGCATCGCGTGCTGTTGGTGAACATCACGTACAGTGTGCAGGACGACAGTTGGTGAACATCACGTACTGTGTGGATGACGACAGTTGGTGAACATCACGTACAGTGTGGAGGACGGCAGTTGGTGAACATCACGTACAGTGTGGATGACGACAGTTGGTGAACATTACGTACAGTGTGGAGGACGACAGTTGGTGAACATCACGTACAGTGTGGAGGACGACAGTTGGTGAACATCACGTACAGTGTGGAGGACGACAGTTGGTGAACATCACGTACAGTGTGGAGGACGACAGTTGGTGAACATCACGTGAAGTGTTGATGACGACAGTTGGTGAACATCACGTACTGTGTGGATGACGACAGTTGGTGAACATCGCGTACTGTGTGGAGGACGACAGTTTGTGAACATCACGTACAGTGTGGATGACAACAGTTGGTGAACATCACGTACAGTGTTGAGGACGACTGTTAGTGAACATCGCGTACAGTGTGGATGACGGCATTTGGTGAACATCGCGTGCAGTGTTGAGGACGACATTTGGTGTACGGGCCAAAGCAGACAAGGTAATGTGCGGTCACATCAGTGAGTGAGTGAGTGAGTGAGTGAGTGAGTGAGTGAGTGAGTGAGTGAGTGAGTGAGTGAGTGAGTGAGTGAGTGAGTGAGTGAGTGAGTGAGTGAGTGAGTGAGTGAGTGAGTGAGTGAGTGAGTGAGTGAGTGAGTGAGTGAGTGAGTGAGTGAGTGAGTGAGTGAGTGAGTGAGTGAGTGAGTGAGTGAGTGAGTGAGTGAGTGAGTGAGTGAGTGAGTGAGTGAGTGAGTGAGTGAGTGAGTGAGTGAGTGAGTGAGTGAGTGAGTGAGTGAGTGAGTGAGTGAGTGAGTGAGTGAGTGAGTGAGTGAGTGAGTGAGTGAGTGAGTGAGTGAGTGAGTGAGTGAGTGAGTGAGTGAGTGAGTGAGTGAGTGAGTGAGTGAGTGAGTGAGTGAGTGAGTGAGTGAGTGAGTGAGTGAGTGAGTGAGTGAGTGAGTGAGTGAGTGAGTGAGTGAGTGAGTGAGTGAGTGAGTGAGTGAGTGAGTGAGTGAGTGAGTGAGTGAGTGAGTGAGTGAGTGAGTGAGTGAGTGAGTGAGTGAGTGAGTGAGTGAGTGAGTGAGTGAGTGAGTGAGTGAGTGAATTTCTCCAACGCCTCTGCCAACATTATCTTTAGAAACAGGATCTTCGCTTTACCTCAATTAACGTAAAGGTATCTAGGCAGTCAATTTGTCTAACCCTATTTATAGGTTGTTATCAAGCGCTTTAAGTTACTTTATCGTTAATTATTTTTTGTCTTCCCAACCTTTGGCTAGCACATGATGGTTTTCTGTAATTTCTAATCTAAACTGTTCCGTCTTGTACGCTCTCAGAATCAGGACTATAAAGTTTCCGCGGACTGAGAGTGGATGCTGCGTGGGAAGGCTCCAGGATGTCCCTTTGGAGGCTGTGTGCTGGGGTTCTGTTGATGTGTTCGGTTCTGTCGGGGTCTGATGCAGCACTCGATGCCGCTACTGAGGGCAACTGGACCTTTCCATGCTGCCATATAACAGGGGGAAACCTCACCTACATCCCAAGGATAAATATCACATGCGATTGCTTGAACTTCTCAAACAACACCCTAAGAAATATAACCAACGAAACATTCAAAAACATAACCTTCGTAAAAAGTTTAATACTTCACAAAGATAAGATCCGGAACATATCAAGTTATGCCTTCAGGAATCTTACATCTTTAAAATACCTCGATCTTCAATACAATTTTATCTATCCACATGACCTTGTTATCGCATTCCAAAGTTTACACCACAATATTCAGATCATCAACTTATCGCGAAACAGACTGAAAAGGTTCAATGGTTTCGTTGACGTCCTCATTGGAAAAAACATCACAACACTGACTCTGGAATACTGTCGTATCGAACAAACGTTAAACTTTTCCGAACTTTCTTTGCTTAAGCCATTGCGTGTTTTATCGATGGGGCACAACGCCCTGTACACAACCACTGGTCATGTGCCCTCACACCTGACGAACATCACGTTACGTGACAACTACTTAAGACACCTGCCAAGATTCTGTAGCAATCACACCAAGGTCTCCCAGCTCAGATACCTCGACTTATGTGACAACAACATTTACTGCCTACCACGACTCCATATTGAATGTCTTACAAGTCTGGAGTATCTTTATATCACGAACAACCAAGTGGGGGTGATTGGATCCAGTACGTTTACGTCGCTGCCGCGACTTGGGGTCATCTACCTGGAGAACGTCTTCGAAAACGCCAATGGGCATGTTTACAGTTATGCTTTTAATAACAGCGTTATTAAATCGCTGATTCTGAATAGCCTTACTGCATATGGTTCTTTCATCGGTACAGTCGACCCTGCATGTTTAGGAGGGTGTGGCGGGTTGTTGGAACTGTCTTTGTGCTACAATGACATGGCTGATGCAAATAATACTTTTTTGATACACTTCTTGGAAATCTCAGTACTGTTCAGACCTTGAGATTAGCACATTGCCAATTGTATTTTCTACCGAAGGTGGTATCCAACCTCCTGCAGTTGGAAAAGCTTGACGTTCACGGAAACCGCATACTGCTGTTAGAAGATGGGATGTTTGATAATTTGAAGAATCTGAAAACCATCGATGTTTCAAAAAATGCATTGCTAATGGTGCTTGAATCGGTCTTCCCACTAAATCTTCGAAACCAACTTGTTACAGTCAAATTAGAATACAACAGTTATATATGCAAGTGCGTAAATCTGTGGTTCATAGAATGGGTTACAGGGTCCGGAAAGTTTTCCAATCTCGATTCCTACAGGTGTGGTTACCCGCCTAACTTGCAGTCCATTTCCATATTCGACGCTGGTGTGTCTGAACAACACTGTCGGATGTCCCCCTTGACGTTCCCAATAATTTTCGGACTCTCGGTCCCCACTCTCGTGCTACTCATTCTTATCTCCCTTGCCTATAGGTGGCGCTGGCACATCCGGTATTATGTGTTTATGCTGCGATACAAGAAGAGGAATAATGAAGACGTGCAGATGACCTTCACATTTGACGCGTTTGTTCTCTATTGTGATGAAGATTCCAGCTGGGTGAGACACCACCTTCTACCAAGTGTTGAAGTAGACGACAGTCTACAGCTATGCATCCACGAGAGGAACTTCACGCCTGGACGGTACATTGTTGACAACATCATGGATAATCTAGAAAACAGCAGAAAGGTTGTCCTTGTGTTGTCCAACAACTTCAGCCAGAGTCCGTGGTGCCAGTTTGAGTTGACCTTGGTCCAGAAACGTGCTCTGGAGAGAGAGTTCTACGTGGTTGTTATTGTCCTGGAGGAGATGGACGACCGATACATGACCTCATCACTGTACGCACTGCTGCAGACGACAACCTACATCAAGTGGCCGGGGGAAGAAGAACACAGGTGTATGTTCTGGACTCGTCTGAAACAGTGCCTGCAGCAGTAATGTGCATCTCTTGCTGTCATGTATACACAACGTAAGGCTGGAAACCCATCTATCCGGACTAGTACTGTATGTTTATGTCAAAACATCTACAAAAAACATTACTGTTCATTCACTTTAAATACATTCATTACTTGCTGTTGTGTATATATATGTTACTCACACGTCTGAGACAGTCTTGTAGCTGTGAGGTTCATTTCTTGCTGTTGTGTACATAGATGTTGCCACACGTCTGAGATAGTGTTGTAGCTGTGAGGTTCATATCTTGCTGTTGTGTATATATATGTTACCACACGCCTGAGACAGTCTTGTAGCTGTGAGGTTCATATCTTGCTGTTGTATACATAGATGTTACCCACACGTCTGAGACATAGGTGTAGCTGTGCGGTTCATATCTTGCTGTTGTATACATAGATGTTACCAACACGTCTGAGACAGTGTTGTAGCTGTGCGGTTCATATCTTGCTGTTGTGTATATAGATGTTACTCACACGTCTGAGATAGTGTTGTAGCTGTGAGGTTCATATCTTGCTGTTGTGTATATATATGTTACCACACGCCTGAGACAGTCTTGTAGCTATGAGATTCATATCTTGCTGTTGTATACATAGATGTTACCCACACGTCTGAGACATAGGTGTAGCTGTGAGGTTCATATCTTGCTGTTGTGTATATAGATGTTACCCACACGTCTGAGACAGTGGTGTAGCTGTGAGGTTCATATCTTGCTGTTGTATACATAGATGTTACCCACACGTCTGAGACATAGGTGTAGCTGTGCGGTTCATATCTTGCTGTTGTATACATAGATGTTACCAACACGTCTGAGACAGTGTTGTAGCTGTGCGGTTCATATCTTGCTGTTGTGTATATAGATGTTACTCACACGTCTGAGATAGTGTTGTAGCTGTGAGGTTCATGTCTTGCTGTTGTGTATATATATGTTACCACACGCCTGAGACAGTCTTGTAGCTGTGAGGTTCATATCTTGCTGTTGTATACATAGATGTTACCCACACGTCTGAGACATAGGTGTAGCTGTGCGGTTCATATCTTGCTGTTGTATACATAGATGTTACCCACACGTCTGAGACAGTGTTGTAGCTGTGCGGTTCATATCTTGCTGTTGTGTATATAGATGTTACCACACCGTCTGAGACAGTGTTGGAGCTGTGAGGTTCATATCTTGCTGTTGTGTATATAGATGTTACCAACACGTCTGAGACAGTGTTGTAGCTGTGAGGTTCATATCTTGCTGTTGTGTATATAGATGTTACCACACCGTCTGAGACAGTGTTGGAGCTGTGAGGTTCATATCTGGCTGTTGTGTATATAGATGTTACCCACACGTCTGAGACAGTCTTGCAGCTGTGAGATTCATATCTTTCTGTTGTGTATATTGATGTCGCCCACACGTCTGAGACAGTGGTGTAGCCGTGAGGTTCATATCTGGCTGTTGTATACATAGATGTCGCCCACACGTCTGAGAGAGTGGTGTAGCTGTGCGGTTCATATCTTTCTGTTGTGTATATAGATATTATTCGACACTTCTTAGGCAGTGTTGTAGCTGAGGTCAGTAGCTTGCTGTTGTGTATACATGTGTTGCTCCACACCTCTGAGACAGTGTTATAGATGTTATTCCACACAACTAAGATAGTGTTGTAGCTGCGAGGTTCATATCGTGACGAACCATCTCCCATATCATACTATGAAATGTTTTCCTTGCATGTCAGTATCCACACTCAATGTTTAGTTCATATTATAGACTTAAGTTAAACATGTTGGTGTACATCAGGATGGAACGAGTGACAGTTTATTCTGAATGTCATGTAATGTTGCTTTTATCATATCAACTCAAGAATAAATACATCAAGCGTAGCGCGTGTTTGCGTTACTGGATGAACGAGCACCTGTTACACAGCAAGATTCCTGTAAATTGCCTCTGTGTAATGAATGTTCTTTATCGCTGTAGTCACAGCAATATAGAGTATGTTTAAAAACAGGTAAACCAGTGGTTGACAGCATGAACACCGTTGTCGGAGAATGACCGTCATGCACGCCGTCAGGATACACCGACCTACATGTCACACGCTGCAACTAGCGACACAGTGTTGCTTTCAGTTGGAATTGTTTTTTGTTTAGGCTAGACCAAATTAATATATTATATTATTAATTGCTTTGGTCAATAATATGTGCTAACTCGCTCGAATAAGAATAGGTCCCCAGTAACTTATACTTGGTGACGTGGTTTATTGTGTGTCAACGTCCCCCGAAGGCATGGATCTTTGCTCACAATATCAATCACTGGATTGTCTCGATTATTTAAAGGCCGCTGGAATATACCTGGAGTAATACAACACAAACGCACGCGCACGCGCACACGCACGCACGCACGCACGCACGCACGTGAGCACGCACGCACGCGCGCGCGCACACACACAAACGCACGCACGAACACACACACACACACACACGCGCACGCACGCACGCACGCACGCACGCACACACACACACAATTTCTCTCTCTAGGCTCCTACAGCAAGTATAACGTACTTAACTAACTGTATATTGTTCCGGACGGACACGGCTTAACCCACCATCATAGTTTCCGGGCATCTCTGAGGGACACAACTCTACACAGCGCATTGTGGCTCTATAGACCACTTTGTACCCCCCCCCCCCCCCCCCCCCCCCCCCCCAACCGATTACACGCTTTGATAGAATCATGTCTGTTTGTCATTGTGTCAATTTCCTTCGTGTTAACATAATTTACATGTGATCTTAATTCTTCCGTTTAACTATTTAATGAGGAGGTTTCTGTTTCCCTGTGTTTGTATAATATTAGGACATTGTTGGAAGTAACGCACGGTGATGACAGTGGTATAATCGCAGTGACAACTAAACCTCCCTACAACGTCCTCAACGGCAGGGTAACAAGAGCTATGTCAAAACACCGACGTTATCTTAATTCTGATAAATACTTGTTTGCTGAAAGAATATGTCCTGCTAGAAACATTGCTCACCAACTGAAAGTGTATTCCCATACAGTCAGGTTTTGTTGATGCCACAAAATCCACGCAGATCCTGGCCGATTAAGATGCTGTTAAATAGTGATTCTTAGTCGAGTGCGAGGGCACTCTTAAAACGGTCGAAGCTTGACACATTGCTGTTCACTAGAACTTAAGGAAACGCGTAGGAATACAAGGTCTGGGTGAACATCCCCAATTTATGATATAGTGCCAAATTATTTTCAGCCTTGGCTATTTATATAAGCGCTCACACATCCGGGAATCACTATCTTATCATTTAGGGATTTTATGCAATACTTTTGGAAGAAGCAAACCCCACACCGTGAAGAGGGCTTACTATTGGTGCATCCTGCTCCGTGGCCTCATTTGCATATTTATGGGATCCCAAGACCAGGTTTATCGGATTAGCTTAACGCATGGAACACACTAACAATTATACATAAGGCGGCTTGTAACAGTTCAGTAACAGGCGGGGCGACATTATGCACAGTGCAGGCGTTAAAACTTACAAGCAAAGGTCTGAGGTGACGTACTCAGGATGATTCGATTCGAACCCGCAGCTGACAGATACAACTCATCGAGTTGTGTCCCTTTAGACCACTGGGCCGCTCATGCTCCTCTTCTCCCGCCAGGGGGCCCTGGTGGCTTAGTCGTCTAAATATCTTTGGCGTGAAAGAAATCCATGATCATTGGTTCGAATCCAAGATTCGCTCTGATAATGTTTCTAGGTTTATCTAGTTTGTTTTATTATATATGCTGTTAAATTGTGAAAACAAATATTTTATTCGCCAAATAAATGTTCGTATTCAGAAGTGGACATCGTTTGAGATCATGTTCTACCCTTTGTGCAATGCAGGGATATCACGAAGATAATGCCTCCCACGTTGCACGTGTTGTAAAGGACTTTATGAGGCAGCATAACATTGATGTACTGCCATGGCCGACTGTTTCGTTAGACCCTTCCCGCATACAACTTGTCTTGGTGAAATGGAATGGTGATGTAAACGGTAATCATCGTTGTGGTTTGGACCTGAAGGTTGCACTGTTTCGGCAGCTGTTTTCAGACTATTGACGTTTTAATACCGTTTGTAATTTTTTTGTCAAATGCAATTTTCAAAGGTATAATTTCATTTGCCCGGAAGTTTACAAATGACGGCATATGCGTTCATATCGGACTTACATACTCGTCGTATCAAGACACACACATATGTGTATGCGCACTTGTTGGATACAATGATGCTAATATCCCCAAATTAACAATAAAGACCAATACGACACAAGACACAAGACACAAAACACAAGGCACACTAATCTCAACACAAGACAGTCGACACATAACACATGACACACTAATCTCAACATAAGACACTCGACACCCGACACGAGACACTCGCCCACAAGACACCCGACACACGACACACGACACAAGACACAAGACACAAGACCCTCGACATACGACACAAGACACCCGACACAAGACACAATACACTCGACACTCGACACAAGACACTCGACACAAGACACAAGACACACGACACTCGACACACGACACAAGACACAAGACACCTGACGCAAGACACACGACACACGACACGAGACACTCGCCACAAGACACAAGACACTCAACACAAGACTCTCGACACACGACACAAGACACAAGACACAAGACACCTGACACACGACACAAGACGCAAGACACTCGACACAAGACACTCGACGCAAGTCACAAGACACTCGACACAAGATACAAGACACCCGACACAAGACACTCGACACAAGACACACGACACAAGACACTCGACACAAGACACAAGACACACGACACTCGACACACGACACAAGACACAAGACACCCGACGCAAGACACACGACACACGACACGAGACACTCGCCACAAGACACAAGACACTCGACACAAGACTCTCGACACACGACACAAGACACAAGACACAAGACACCCGACACCCGACACACGACACAAGACACAAGACACAAGACACCCGACGCAAGACACACGACACACGACACGAGACACTCGCCACAAGACACAAGACACTCGACACAAGACTCTCGACACACGACACAAGACACAAGACACAAGACACCCGACACACGACACAAGACGCAAGACACTCGACACAAGACACTCGACGCAAGACACAAGACACTCGACACAAGATACAAGACACCCGACACAAGACACTCGACACAAGACACACGACACAAGGCACACTAATCTCTACACAAGATACACGACACAAAATACAAGACACACTTATCTCAACACAAGACACTCGACATACGACACGGGACACTCGCTACAAGACATCGGACACACGACACACGACATAAGACACAAGGCACTCGACACAAGACCCTCGACACACGACACAAGGCACAAAACACAAGACAACCCGACACGCGACACAAGACACTCGACACAAGACACTCGACACAAGACACCCGATACAAGACACTCGACACAAGACACCCGACACAAGACGCTCGACAAAAGACACTCGACAAACGACACAGGACACTCGACACACGACACCCGACACACGACACAAGAATCTCGATACAAGACACCCGACACCCGACACAGGGCACTCGACACACGACACAAGACACCCGACAAAAGACACTCGACGCTCGACACAAGACACACGGCACAAGAATCTCGATACAAGACACCCGACACCCGACACCCGACACAAAACACTCAACACAAGACACTCGGCACAAGACACTCGACACAAGACACTCGACACAAGACACTCGACACAGCTTTCAACACATACACTCGACATGAAACACTCGACACACGACACAAGGCACTCGGCGCAAGACAATCGACACACGACACAAGACACACGACACAAGACACTCGACACACGTAACAAGACACAAGACTCTCGACACACGACACAAGACAATCGACACTCGACACACGACACACGACACAAGACTCTCGATAGAAGGCACAAGGCACTCAAACCCAAACCTCGACCAGTGCAGTGCAGTTCACAAAAGAGCGAACAGTGTCGTAGCTTATTTATTTACGAGCTTTTAGCTGGGTATAGGAGAAAGCCGTTAAACGTGGCGTACACCTCATCGGAGGCGCCGTACAGATAAACGTCCCCGTGACCTTGGAGGTGTACGACGTCGCCGACGGCAAGTTGAAGGACGATGGCGTTGGAAGCAGCACCGTAGTCGTTGGCAGAGTGGGAGTAGGCGGAGATGACGTACGCGTTATTCTTAAACAGCTCCATCCAGATGGATCCGTCAGACTCCGTCAGACCATGAAACTGGAACACGTAAGTCCCTGCCGCCGGGCAGGTGAACTCGCCCGTGTTGTTGTCGTAGGCGTCGCCGATGTTGGTGAAGACTCTGTCGAAGGTGATGTTGACGGGCTGGTGGAGCTCAAGATTGGTCGTCAAACCGGCAGAGAATGCGACCCTGGATGACCCAGCTCGTTTGTTCAGGTGTTCTGTTATATCTGGAATACAAACAAACAAAAAGTGTACACGCGAGCCAATGTAATTATTACCTTGCAGACAACACGTCCGGCAACCTGTTATACTTGAGTGTAAGGCGGGCACTGGTTGTCATTGAGAACGATGACAAACAGGCTGTGAACACCCGATGCCAATTTTAGTCGTCTCTTACTGCAACCATTGGGTAATGAACGAGCATATCCCGCTCCGGGATGCCCACGCGGCCATAACGTCAGTATTCATTTTGACGACGGGGTACGGGTGAAACTGCTAACTACAAACACGCGGCGTTAACCATGTTTGATCATCCAAAACTGGCTCCCACAGCAGATATCGCTTGGATAAGATCAAGCGATATCTACACTGTAGATATCGCTGCAATAAAATTACATCACAATGCTTTGCAGACCATTGTGACGTCACTGGTTACCATGACGTCACAATCAAATTACATCACTAATGGCTCTGCTACTGAAGTTGTAGGCAGTACTTTTTACACTGAAGACACTGCTAATTACTGTCTACAAATTGAAAAAGTTGGAAGAATGATGTTGGATGATAAATAAAATCTCACCCTCGTGTCTTTTGATATCAAATATATCAACACTCGTTGATAAAAGTGGCAAAAGTCCTCGGCAAGCCTCGGAATTTTTCCACTTTTATCAACTCGTGTTGATATATTTGATATCAAAAGACACTCGGATGAGATTCTCTATAACCCAGGAACACGTATTCCCAGGATTCAGGTCAGCACTACTCCTGGAAGATATCAGCTAAAAGAAAACAAGAAGTGCTGAAGCTCACCTATACACAAAATGGAACAAAAAGAGAACAGCCTCAATTTACTAGTTATTATTTACTCAATATGTGGATTATTCTTCAAAACCATTATTCGATCATATCCAATAGCGTTATTATTCTGATTCCTTTTTTTAACATCTTTATAATGTGAGGTTCAACAATATGTATGAATCTCGTCCCATACATGTGATGTCGCTCAGACATATATGAACAGTAACCTTTCGAGATATGCTTGTCAACCAACGGGATCGCTCACGGATTCTTGCATACTGTTGAAGGGTATCAGTTTGAGTAAATGTATGTATCACAACAAACTCAAGTAATGGCAGAAATAGAAGATGCCCAGATTCAAACTTTCGAATGATTGATAAACACATGCTTATGATACATATAGTCGGAATCATACAATGACGTCCGCTTGTAGTATATTTCTTATGATTATGGACATTGTTTTTGCCGCAGACTCGTTCTACAACAGCAAATTCATTCTACAATAGCAAACTCGTTCTACAATAGCAAACTCGTTCTACAATAGCAAACTCGTTCTACAATAGCAAACTCGTTCTTCAATAGCAGACTCATTCTACAATAGAAGACTCGCTCTACAATAGCAAACTCATTCTACAATAGCAAACTCGTTCTACAATAGCAGACTCGTTCTACAATAGCAAACTCATTCTACAATAGCAAACTCGTTCTACAATAGCAGACTCGTTCTACAATAGCAGCCTCATTCTTCAATAGAAGAGTCATTCTAAAATAGCAGACTCATTCTACAATAGCAGCCTCATTCTACAATAGCAGACTCATTCTACAATAGCAGCCTCATTCTACAATAACAGACTCGTTCTACAATAGCAGATTCATTCTACAATAGCAGCCTCGTTCTACAATAGCAAACTCGTTCTAAAATAGCAGACTCATTCTACAATATCAGACTCGTTCTACAATAGCAGACTCGTTCTACAATAGCAGACTCATTCTACAATAGCAGACTCATTCTACAATAGCAGACTCGTTCTACAATAGCAAACTCGTTCTAAAATAGCAAACTGACTTTACAATAGCAGACTCGTTCTACAATAGCAAACTCATTCTACAATAGCAGACTCGTTCTACAATAGCAAACTCGTTCTACAATAGCAAACTCACTTCACAATAGCAGACTCGTTCTACAATAGCAAACTCACTTCACAATAGCAGACTCATTCTACAATAGCAGACTCATTTTACAATAGCAAACTCACTTTACAATAGCAGACTCGTTCTACAATAGCAAACTCATTCTACAACCGCAGATTCGTTCTATATCTAGTTCTCACATCTGTGTACAGTTGCACGAATCACAGAAATCCAAGTTTAGATGCCATTAAAAGCTACCAATATTTGATGCCTGAAAATCGTTTTATGATATTTGGAATAAAGAGTAAGAGATTTTATAACAATAAGTTATTGGTAAAATGAACTACAAACTAAAAAGTGAAAGTGCATATATTAGGAAAACTAACAAGGCCGCTGCAAATATATATATTGCCTTTTGTTCCATTGAGTTTATGTTATTGGCATCAATTAATTGTTTTAATGAAACCTTCATGGATTCCTACTGTACGAGTAAGGCAGGCTACTGTTTATGTATTTTTCGCCACACACGGTAATATACCAACCGTAAGTCCGGAACAGACAAACCAGTGATTGATATTATGAGCAGCGGCCCACGCCGACGTGGAACGAAGAGACCTTTCACTGAGGGCAACGAGTCTGACTGCCAGATCCATGCAGTGACCTCCTACGACCATCATGGGTTGCTGGGACCTACTGTATTAAACCCGGAATCCCCTAACGTGCAGGAGATAACACCGTGGGGTTTAAACTGTGAGGGGCAGTCGGGTAGCCTAGTGGTTAAAGCGTTCGCTCGTCACGCCGATGATCCGGGTTCGATTCCCGACATGGGTACAATATGTGGAGCCAATATCTGGTGTCACCCGCCGTGATATTGCTGGAATATTGCTATAAAACAATATTCATTCACTCAGTCGTAAGAGGCGACTTAATGGATCGGGTGGTCAGATCCAGTGACTTGGTTGATTGGTGCCATCTTACCTCAACATCATTGCTCACACTATCAATCACTGGACTGTCTGGTCAAAACTGGATTATTTACAGCCCGTTCTCTCTCTCTCTCTCTCGCACGCACGCACGCACGCACACACGCACGCACGCACGCACGCACGCACACACGCACGCACACACGCACGCACGCACACACACACGTGCAACAATCCATGGTGCTGACAGGCCGAGAACACACCCCTTGAGACGATGAGCTAAGTTACATCACCCCCGAGGTGCCCGATACTTACCCACACCGATGGATGCGACCAGCGTCACAGCACACAGACACAGCAACGCCGTCGTTGTCGTAGCCATCCTGTTGAACAAAGGCAGCAGTTACAGAGGAACCAACTGTCATAACCATGACGAATCCAGCGTTCAACCCCTCAATCAGCAGATTCTGCTCCAGATAAGGGAAGCAACTCTTGCTCAGCTTTACACCGCTGAACTGCCCGTGTCGCCATGCACACTTGCACAATACGATCGTAGCACTAAGACAGTTGCAATAGCGTTGACTTGCATTAAGACCGCTTTGTGCAAGCGCCCATAAAAACTACCGACGTCTTATAAAGTACCCCGTTTTCCATCATTAGGAGAATTGCGAATCAAACGATGAGACTTGACCTGATAAAACTATTGTCATAATTCTGCGGAAGTAATTTGTTTGTGTATTTGAGTTTAAGCAGCGTTTAAAGGTAAATTCATTTTACCACATATGACATGGGGCGGTCGGGTAGCCTAGTGGTTAAAGCGTTCGCTCGTCACGCCGAAGACCCGGGTTCGATTCCCGACATGGGTACAATGTGTGCAGCCCATTTCTGGTGTCCCCCGCCATGATATTGCTGGAATATTGCTAAAAGCGGCGTAAAACCACACTCACTCACTCACATATGACATATATCAGTAACAAATCATGAACGGAATAACACAAGGAGCAAAATGATCACCTACTTTGTGAAATCGTCGACTTGCTAGGTATGATCTGTGTCATGAGATGTCGCCTTCCTTCAACACCTGGAGTACCGACCTGTCCGACGCCTTATCTCCATGTAGCCACACTGTGCTGTCTGTTGTCACTCCTCATGACCTGGAGTAGTACACTGGATACAAGCAAACAAACAATGAAAGTACTTTGTTAGTCAATACTTTGACAGCTAATATCATAAACAATCATAGATTTATTTTCACAACAAATTCTAACTTGACTACAATCAGGAACTGCGTTTTGAAATAAGATCTGTCAGTTCTGGTCTAGCCAGTCAACCACAAGGGAGACAACCCCTGCCACAGTGAGCATTCTACAGTCGGAGTGAAGATGACCGTTCTGTGGGCTGGTGCGTGCTGCTTGCTTGTTGCACTGACAGGTAAACTTTTTCTATCACGTTTATGTGTTCTTCAAACATTTATCAATATTTCGATAACCTGTTACTGTTTCAATAAACCCGCTACATATCGATCTACACTCAATATAAGTGTATTTCCTAGGTGTTGTTTGCCATCCACTATTTAGTTGCTCAAAGCGCACTTATTAACCCCGGTCAATGGATCAGTGTGCACTCAACAATCATTCTCAGCTCCCTGGGGAGTAGACAACATAAACTGCCTGTAGGGCCCTGGAATACTAACAACCCTACCGGGTACCCATTGACTGCTAAGTGAACTGATGAAAGTCGCTTGCCCAAGGAGACACCACATGTGTTACATGTGCTTCAGTGTGGGGCAGGACCGAAGTGCAGGGGACAAGCTGCCGAACCCGGTCACCCATCCACCTACTCTCCGCGACCAACGTTGCTTAGCTTCACCTGATTTGTGACCTGTGCGCTGTGCAAAGGACCACGTGCCACCATTCACCATCAGTGTATCATTAACCATTCTAACGGTAACGTACAAAGACATTGACAACCTGTTGATGTATCGATAACTCATCAATATATCAATAACATATCTATACATCGATAACCCATTCATGTACCGATCTCCTTTCAGCTGGTCAGAAGTCTGACCTGCTGTATCAGGTGGCCTTCTCTGCCGGACTGTCCCATCACGTGACGCTTCCTGTCGGCAACACCGTCAAATACGACCACGTCTTCACCAACATCGACAACGCTTACGACCCAACGACGGGCGAGTTCACTTGCCCACAGACGGGTATCTATGTCTTTCAGTACCACTCACTTAGCCGCAGCAACGAGACGCTGTGGGTCTCCCTCTACCAAGACTACATGTACGTCAACACAGCCTACGCCCACACCACAAACGACTTCGCCGCTGCCGGCAACGACGCCGTCCTCCATCTGACAAGAGGGGACCACGTGAGCATTCAGTCGGAGGGGGATGACGGAGTCAGTCTTTACGGTGCGCCTGATGAGATCTACTGCACCTTTTCGGGGTATCTTATCTCCCCCATTATTGAAGAAACGCCTGTCATCGGTTGATGCATCAATAAAACATGACTTGGAAATAATTTGTTTTACTCTATACTTCTCCTAATACAGTAAATACAACAAATGGATGATGATGAGTGAGTGAGTTTGGTTTTACGCCGCTTTTAGCAATATTCAAGCAATATCACGGCGTGGGACACCAGAAATGGGCTTCACACATTGTACCCATGCCGGGAATCGAACCCGGGTCTTCGGCGTGACGAGCGAACGCTTATCCACTAGGCTACCCGACCGCCCCCAAATGGATGATGGATCTTTTGAGTAAGTGAACAGCGTTTTACGCCGTTCTATTCAACTTCATGAATATAACGGATGCGCACACAAATGGCTTCGACCCCTGCCCTTCTACATGACCAGGACGAGAAGGAAACTATCCACTCACTCACCCTATTCCACACTGCACATACTTAGAGCTTATCACGCGAAAGTTTTTATGGATGTTAAATATCCTGTATAAGGAATAAAGCATTTAGCGTGGTAATATCTTTATACAAAAATATCATTCTTAAATTCTAAATCGAAAAATAACTCTCACAAAATCGTACCTAATCATTGCAAGTTTTCCTGGAACGTGCGCATCAATACATTACGTCACAAGCTCAAGGATAGGTCAGTCGGCCAGTGACAACAGACAATATAGTTCCAAGTGACACTTGTTGTTTTGACAGTGGATTCACTACCATATAGGCAATATATATTTTGGAAACGACCTCGTAATATTGCTACTGGTTCAACGTTGGTGAAATCCTCGCGCGCGTGTATAAACAGACCAAGGTATTATAATGAGAAGCAACTTGGAAACGACCTCGTAATATTGCTACTGGTTCAACGTTGGTGAAACCCTCGCGCGCGTGTATGAACAAACCAAGGTGTTATAATGAAAAGCAATTTGGGATCCCTATTAATCTGTATGGAGGCTCACATGTAATGGACCGACCCTCCTGTCATGTATTGGTACGTCATGTATTGGTACGTCATGTATTGGTACGTCATGTATTGGTACGTCATGCGGTTGTTCCAGTGAGCGAAACCGAACATTAGCTACACCGCGGTCATGTGACATATGTAATACATATAATATATTTTACATCCACTGACAAAATTAATGTATCGAGAGGTGATAGCGATATATGAGGTGAGCTCCCGAACCTATCAGTATTGCAAGGTGCGTTGACCTGGATCCTGGTGGAAGTGAAGGCTTATCTCCCACGTCCCCACGCCTGACGCTGAGACAGTGAAGGCGACAAATCTGGTCCTGCGAACCGTCAACACCATGCCCTTCTTGTTTATTGCCATCTCCCTCCTGGCTGCAGGCGACTCAGGTAAACAGTCAAAATATGATAAATATATCATGGTTGAAATGTTATACAAGGTTGATAATATAGCACTAATATTTACACATATTTAACAGCGAACAGCGTGATGTTTCCAAATATTATTCGCAAAAGAAAACGTGTGTAGTTATTGTGATCCTGCCATGAAGAATGGATCAGACCAACTAAGCACAACTTCCATTTTGTTCAAGTATTCTGGATCTGCCAGTCATAACAACTGTTGTCATTTACAGAGAGTGGGTGAGTGAGTGAGTTTTGTTTTTCGTCGTCGTCCTCAATATTGCAGCCATATGACGTCACTAATATGTATGACCTGGCTGGACGATAGTGTGAGGATCAGTTCTCTCTGCGATGTACGTCTCAGACCATTCACCGCGATACCGCGGCACATATCGGTCACATGTAGTGTTCCCATGTACTGACATGTCATCAAGATTGGCGGGTAAATAAAATTCCACCCGGAACACGATACTGAAACATCTGTTAACTTCTCAACACGTTTGTTTGATTATAAAATAAATAAGTAATAGAATTATAGAATAATAAAAATGACAACAACAACAACAAAAACAACAATGATGACAACAATGATGATGATAATAATAATAATCATCATCATCATAATCATCATCATAATAATAATACCTATAATAATTTTTGATAAATCCAATGAAATCCTTTACATCATTGAATTTTCTGTCCCTTTTGACACTAATATGATTAACAAGAGTGAGGAAAAACATGGAAAAAACGTGCCTTAGGTTTGGTATCTTCCAATCTGGTAGGGGAGGGGGAAGGGATGGGGGAGGGGGGGGGGGGGGGGGGGGGGGTCACGAGTGGCCCAGTCGTCTAAGGCACCGCGATTCGCTGTGCAGAGTTGCGTCCCCTGGGCACGCTAGAAACCTTTGATTATGGGTTCGAATCCCGGTTCGCCCTGATTATGTTTCTTGGTTCGTCAGCACCATACCCATGCTCTTGGGTTTCACCGAAGTGGTAAACGTCTGAGACCTGCATCACTTGGGGTTTTCCTCCCACATTAAGCTGACACGCCGTGATTCAACTGGAACACTGTTAAAAGCGGCGTTAAACCCAACTTACTCACTCACTCACTCTATGTATTATGCTGATTTTACGAAAACAATACCCAAATTAAATATGAATCTCTGTCATCCTCGGAAAACAACAACAAAATACACTTGTCTCGTGGTCGATATGACAAATTCATGTCACAATTTATATTTGAACAATGGAGTACACTATCAGCTAAAATTATCCAAACTGTTGCAGATGCCGCGACAGAGGTAGCGTTCTCGGCGGGTCTCAGTCACCATCAGTCTCTCACAGGCGGTCAAACGGTTGTCTACAACCGTATCATCACCAACGTTGGCAACGCGTACAACCCGGCGACGGGCGTCTTCACCTGTCCGATCAGCGGCGCATATGTCTTCCAGTACCACGCCATGTCCCGGCAGGACAGCACATTGTACCTCGAGCTCTACCTGAACGACAAATACATCAGCTCCGCCTACGGCCATACTATAACAGACTACGCCAGCGGCAGCAACTCCGGGATCCTTGAACTCAACAAGGGGGACGCTGTCAGCGTCAAGGCAGCCGCGGGGTATCAGACGGACCTGTACGGTCAAGTATACGAGGTGTACTCCACCTTCTCTGGTTTTCTGATCTCAGCATCCTCGTGATTCAGTGAATAAAACATACAAAGCATCATACTTCAGTTTCAGTGTTTTATTGTTCTGTCAGATGGGACAGGTAGTGATCAACTCGTTGACGTGTCCTTGGGTCCGACTCCAAACATAGGGCCAAGGTGACCCTCCTGCTCGTACTTGGTACCTGATACACATAATAATAAAAATTTATCTTGCGTATGTTTCCACAACACTCAGGGGCATGCTCAAAACGGTATCATTAACCCTACCACTTTATCAGTTTGCACTCAACATTCTCATCTCCCTGGGTAGTACATAACCCGAGATGCCTGTAGGCGCTAGAAGGGTAACAACCACATTGTTACCTCATCCTACCGGGTACCCATTCACTGCTAGAGGCACCCTTTGAACAGTCACTTGCCCAAGGAGACACCACATGTGTTACATGTGCTTCAGTATGGGGTAGGACCAAACCGAAGACCTGGAAACTCTCAGGAGCCAAGCTGCCGGAATGCGGCCACCCATCCAAGGACTCTCAGCGACCGACGTTGCTAAACTTTACCTGATTTGTGACCTGTGCTCTGTGCAAAGGACACATGCCGTCACTGAGCTCACCTCCTGCAGCATGAGAGTGGAGACCCTCACTTGTTGTCTTGACGAAGCAGTCCGATGTAAAATGAACTCAAAAACCTTTAAAAACGCAAATGCAACAGAACCTATTCATCCTTAAATTTATACAAAAATGTATGAGTTATCAGTTATCAAAACAAAAACAAAACGATCTCGAAAAGGTGTATATAACGCTGCTTGCAACAGTATTCAACATAAGTACGGCTTCTGGGCTGACTGAGTTTTTTAATACAACTTTGTATTCATGACTTACTTGTACATGTATCAACTTGTTCTCGTCACTCAATGGCTGGAATAATGCCGATGCGACGTTAACTGTTAACTCACGCACTCACTCACTCTGGGCTGACTGTAGTAGAAGGATCCAAACAGATCCAACCCGATTACCAGGTCGGTGACGCCCACGTGTACACGTTCAGCCGTCTCACAACAGGCGTCTGTATGGGAGTCGAACCTCGACCCACTGGCCTTGGTCTGGCTTGGGAACTTGTAGAGTGTTACGAAGCTGATTTGGTATGTACGTGGGTATTTATTTGTTAAAACGACTGACACGGTAAAGAAAAAAGATGATTTGAAACTATTCAAGTCCCGTTTCACAAAGTAACCGTATGTCAAAGTATGAGAGTTACGTCAATCCAAGAGCTGAGACGTTTTCGAGAGCGTCCAGTCTGTTATGCAAATCTATACCCTCGTCTTATCGTATAGAAAAGTTTAAAATCTTAGTTTTGTCAACATGATTGTCTGCGAAGTGTCCTTTCTGCTGGGTTCAAAGCCTAGTTCTCGCGTGTGTTACTTCACAGCACTACAAGCCATCACATTGCTTATTGCTAGCGTCAGATAGAAATACCCATGTTATATCACGTGGTCTTACATAATCGAATTCTGGTCAGGCAAAGCTGGAGTTGATAGCATGAGGAACAACCAACGCAGTTGGGTCAAGCTGACACGCTATCAGCCAGGTCACAGGACACGTCAGGACACGCCAGGACACGCCAGGACACGCCAGATCACATGACATCATCCAACTAAGGCCACATGGTTCGAACACTTTATTTTAACAGGCTTCTACAAGAATTGGATGGTGGGGATCCATTCCGACAAACATGGAGCTGCTTTGGATGTTTTTCGGACGGGCCGCTTGCGAATAATGGTGATCTTATTTATTCTAGATCTTGCGTGCGTCAGCAACATAGCCTAGCCTAGCCTTGCCTAGCATAAAAAAAACCACCTCGGACCCATTCGCTATATTAGTTCCGTTCGGGAAGTGTCAGTTTTTCGGTTTTAACGCCAGATTGACGTTTATCACTTTGGGTAAACCCTCGAACATGGGTATGGTGCTTAAAGACATAGAAACATAATCACGGCAGTTGTGTGATTCACAACGAATATAAGGGTAACGCTATTTTTCAGGACCCGGTTGTATCAAACTTTAATGATGCATTAACGTGTCATTAAACCTTCATTAACTAATGTATCATTAAATCCAGTTGTACTAACGTTTTAATGACGTCGTGGTGTCATTAGCGCGTTATTAACTTAATGAAGGTTCTGGGGCATCATTAGCGTGTCATTAAAAACAAACATGGCAGCGAACATATTGTTTGAACGCTTAGGAGGCACAAGGAAAGACCGTGTTTTCAGAAAACGAACTCAACACCTCGAATCCATGAGCGATGAAGAAGTAAGGGCCCGCTACCTTTTTGGGAAGGCAAGCATCAGATATATCTGCGATCTTGTGAGAGATGAATTACAGCCCAAATCTTCAAGATCGCACGCACTTAGTGTTGAACTACAGGTAAATGTTTGATAATTAACACGTCGTGACTAGAAACTCAGCAAGTTTGAAATAAACATATAATTATAGCGCCAAATTTATAGCGGCAATCTTTACAATGAATGAAACGCACTTCTACGTGGGTCAGCTCACTGGTCTGTGTTGGTAAAGTCATATGTGCAGCCTCATGATACCAACCTTGTAAATATATTTCACAATTGAAAGAAATGTAAATTCATGGATCCCTTTCACTTCACTCCAGAAAGATACGTTTTCAACTTGGCGTTGTCAGCCATGATCAATTTCATAAGGGGGAGTAACTCTAATGACTTAAACTAAATGTGTCGTGCACACTGATAAAGTTTTTTGCACACTTATTGAACATCAGTTAATAATATAATTAATATTTTTACACTGTTAAAACGGGAGAGGTACGGCACCAGGGTTATTATCATTTGTTTTATTACCAAAGGAAATGATATATTAGAATTGTATGATATATTTGTGTGATGACACGGCCTATTTTATGTCTGCAGCCACCTTCAGAAAAATGACTGCTATAATGTGACATATTTTTTCAACCAATTTTCGTTGTCATAAGAAAATTCTCTCATGAAAAGTATAAATGCTTCACATAAAATTTGCATTTAGAGACGAAGAATGTCAAGATTTGAACTTCGTGGAAAGTGGGGCAATACAGGGCCCTCCCCCGGTCTTCCTCATGTCCAGCTGTCTGTTACTGAATTCCCTTTTGGCCGTCTGGTGCATGTTCGTCCATTTTGTTTTTATTTCTTTTGTTGTACGCTGACAAACACCGAGAGCGTTAACTTTGGAAGTTATCTCTGCCCAAATAGCCTTGAAGTTCTTTCTTTCGTGGTTGACGGTGCTACACAACTTACTGTTAAGTATGGAGATGTGTTTCTCCACCAACTCGGCAATAAGCTGAATTTCGGAGCTGTCGAAATTCTTGTTTCTATTCCTAGGTTTAGGTGGATACGATGCCATTTTGACAGACGACCGGAAGTAGCGCGTACGTGTTTACGTCAAGGAATTGTGGGAAATATTTAGGGGAAACACCGAATTTAATGACAGGTTAATGAAGACACTTACATTAAGGCATCATTAGATAATGATATGCTAATAAACGTTTGATACAACCGATTTTAATGATGCCATTAACTAATGGTGCATTAAGCATTTAATGTATCATTAGGGTTTAATGTAGCCATTAGTTAATGAGGCTTTGATACAACCGGGTCCAGGGCATTATCATTTGCAGAAGCCCGAGGTCTTCCATTAACTGCCCGACGAAGGAGGGCAGTTGAAAAGACTGAGGGCTTCTGCAAATGATAATGCCCTGAAAAAAAGCGTTACCGTTATTATAACTAAAATGGATTGAATTTGTTATCAAATAAAAAGAAACAACAATGTCGATTTTGAAGCATTTACTGCAATCAACACGAATGTCACTGACCCACTTTTACAAATATGGAAACGTCATAGAACAAACCAGATGACGTCACTATTGAACGTTACGTCACCTATCCCTATCCTATGACGTCACCTAACAACGGGCGTGATAATGGCCCGTCGTCAAGTAATATGAGGGCATTATCAAGTTACAGTGGCCCACTCATTTCTGATAACATGCGGGCGTTTTTATGATAATTCTATCCATTTTAGCTATAATCTATGGTAGCGAATGGGTCGGAGGTATTTATTATATAAGAATGGTGGTATAACACACTGGAGCATCGAGGATTGGGTCGGGTACAGTTTGAACCTTCTGGAATGTCACATTGTGTTCAATTGAATATCTGCGTTACCAGTGATGATGGTGTTTCCTCTGTGTTGGCACTGATCTAGTGGAAGCCAAGAGGATTAACAATGCAACAAGACAACGCAAGGCCTCACACCGCCCGAATTGTTCAAGACTACCTGAACAACGTTAACGTCAACGTAACCCCATTGAACATCTGGGATCATCTTGATCGTCAGCTGAGACAACATGTACCGCCTCCAGCGAACCGACAGGAACTTGAACAGACTCTATTGAACTTATGGAACAGGATTCCTGTTGACGTTATCCGCCGACTGACAACGTCAATGAGGAGGCGTGTTTTGGCGTGCATGGATGCCCAGGGTGGTCACATCCGCTATTGATGACGTGTTACCTGACTACTGTGTCATTAATGGACTCTTCATGCACTTTTTCAATGAACTCTGATTTGTGTAGTTTTTAATTTGGACCCCTTGACTCTTTCTTTGTGTATTGCGGAGAATGCAATATCGGCATTACAATGCATTTTCATTCTAAATCATGGAAAATGATTTCTGTTTATTAAATAATCATCGTAAATCTCACAAATGCCTTTGCTTTTGGTGTTTGGTCAAGTGAAGTTGGTAAAAACTTTCTTTTGCCCGGTATATATAAAAACCGCGTCATCTAGTCCCACTTACCTACAAGAATCCGTACAAATACACGTTCAGTTTGATACCCTACATAAAAATAAGAAAAACGCTGTTACCCACGTGATGAGAACTAGGGCATGAAACTGTTCAGCGCAAGCACACCTAGCATACAGGTTGTGTCAGGTGTGCCTCAAACCACACACGTGTTCACACCGATGATAAGGGCAAGCGTCAGCTGAACGAAGTGTGGTTCCAGCCATGGATGGTCTGTTCAAGGGAATCCTTTTGCTCGGTGTGACCCTGTGTGGTAAGTGTTCTGGAATGTACAGTGTGTTTAATGCCCTTCAAACTCGTGGTACATATTAAGACTTTTTTTTATCTTTATTTACTGGAAATCTGGCAAACTATTCAAGGAAATAATCCTCGGCCTCCATATCAAGTAGAGCATTGTGACTGCTGTGGTCCAACACACGTTACCTTATCCACTTTGTACAAGAGGACAACCTGACTGAGCCTGACCACACAATCCCCTCAAGTCACTGAGCCTGACCACCCAATCCCCTCAAATCACTGAGCCCGACCACCAGTCCTCTCAAGTCACTGAGCCTGACAACCCAATCCCCTCAGGTCACTGACCCTGACCACACAATCCCCTCAAGTCACTGAGCCTGACAACCCAATCCCCTCAAGTCACTGAGCCCGACAACCAGTCCTCTCAAGTCACTGAGCCTGACCACCCAGTCCTCTCAAGTCACTGAGCCCGACAACCAAATCCCCATAGGTCACTGAGCCTGACCACCCTGTCCCCTCAAGTCATCAAGCCTGACCACCCAATCCTCTAAAGTCAATGAGCCTGACAACCCAATCCTCTCAAGTCATCAAGCCTGACCACCCAGTCCCCTCAAGTCATCAAGCCTGACCACCCAGTCCCCTCAAGTCATCAAGCCTGACCACCCAATCCTCTCAAGTCATCAAGCCTGACCACCCAGTCCCCTCAAGTCATCAAGCCTGACCACCCAGTCCCCTCAAGTCATCAAGCCTGACCACCCAATCCTCTCAAATCACTGAGCCCGACCACCAGTCCTCTCAAGTCACTGAGCCTGACAACCCAATCCCCTCAGGTCACTGAGCCTGACCACCCAATCCTCTAAAGTCAATGAGCCTGACCACCCAATCCTCTCAAGTCATCAAGCCTGACCACCCAGTCCCCTCAAGTCATCAAGCCTGACCACCCAGTCCCCTCAAGTCATCAAGCCTGACCACCCAGTCCCCTCAAGTCATCAAGCCTGACCACCCAGTCCCCTCAAGTCATCAAGCCTGACCACCCAATCCTCTCAAATCACTGAGCCTGACCACCCAATCCTCTCAAGTCACTGAGCCTGACCACCAGTCCTCTCAAGTCACTGAGCCTGACCACCAGTCCTCTCAAGTCACTGAGCCTGACCACCCCATCCCCTCAAGTCACTGAGCCTGACAACCCAGTCTACTCAAGTCACTGAGCCCGACCACCCAGTCTACTCAAGTCACTGAGCCTGACCACCCAGTCCCCTCAAGTCACTGAGCCTGACCACCCAGTCCCCTCAAGTCATCAAGCCTGACCACCCAGTCCCCTCAAGTCATCAAGCCTGACCACCCTGTCCCCTTAAGTCATCAAGCCTGACCACCCAATCCTCTCAAGTCATCAAGCCTGACCACCCAGTCCACTCAAGTCATCAAGCCTGACCACCCAGTCCCCTCAAGTCATCAAGCCTGACCACCCAAACCTCTCAAATCACTGAGCCTGACCACCCAATCCTCTCAAGTCACTGAGCCTGACCACCAGTCCTCTCAAGTCACTGAGCCTGACCACCCAATCCCCTCAAGTCACTGAGCCTGACAACCCAGTCTACTCAAGTCACTGAGCCCGACCACCCAGTCTACTCAAGTCACTGAGCCTGACCACCCAGTCCCCTCAAGTCACTGAGCCTGACCACCAGTCCTCTCAAGTCACTGAGCCTGACAACCCAATCCCCTCAAGTCACTGAGCCTGACAACCCAGTCTACTCAAGTCACTGAGCCCGACCACCCAGTCTACTCAAGTCACTGAGCCTGACCACCCAGTCCCCTCAAATCACTGAGCCCGACAACCAGTCCTCTCAAGTCACTGAGCCCGACAACCCAATCCCCTCAGGTCACTGAGCCTGACCACCCAATCCTCTAAAGTCACTGAGCCCGACAACCAGTCCTCTCAAGTCACTGAGCCCGACAACCAGTCCTCTCAAGTCACTGAGCCCGACCACCAGTCCTCTCAAGTCACTGAGCCCGACCACCAGTCCTCTCAAGTCACTGAGCCTGACAACCAGTCCTCTCAAGTCACTGAGCCTGACCACACAATCCCCTCAAGTCACTGAGCCTGACCACCCAGTCTACTCAAGTCACTGAGCCCGACAACCAGTCCTCTCAAGTCACTGAGCCTGACCACCAGTCCTCTCAAGTCACTGAGCCTGACCACCCAATCCCCTCAAGTCACTGAGCCTGACAACCCAGTCTACTCAAGTCACTGAGCCCGACAACCCAATCCCCATAGGTCACTGAGCCTGACCACCCTGTCCCCTCAAGTCATCAAGCCTGACCACCCAATCCTCTAAAGTCAATGAGCCTGACCACCCAGTCCCCTCAAGTCATCAAGCCTGACCACCCAGTCCCCTCAAGTCATCAAGCCTGACCACCCAATCCTCTCAAGTCATCAAGACTGACCACCCAGTCCCCTCAAGTCATCAAGCCTGACCACCCTGTCCCCTCAAGTCATCCAGCCTGACCACCCAGTCCCCTCAAGTCATCAAGCCTGACCACCCAGTCCCCTCAAGTCACTGAGCCTGACCACCCAGTCCCCTCAAGTCACTGAGCCTGACCACCCTGTCCCATCAAGTCATCCAGCCTGACCACCCAGTCCCCTCAAGTCATCCAGCCTGACCACCCTGTCCCCTCAAGTCACTGAGCCTGACCACCCTGTCCCATCAAGTCATCCAGCCTGACCACCCTGTCCCCTCAAGTCATCAAGCCTGACCACCCAGTCCCCTCAAGTCATCCAGCCTGACCACCCTGTCCCCTCAAGTCATCAAGCCTGACCACCCAGTCCCCTCAAGTCATCAAGCCTGACCACCCAGTCCCCTCAAGTCATCCAGCCTGACCACCCTGTCCCCTCAAGTCATCAAGCCTGACCACCCTGTCCCATCAAGTCATCCAGCCTGACCACCCTGTCCCCTCAAGTCATCAAGCCTGACCACCCAGCCCCCTCAAGTCATCCAGCCTGACCACCCTGTCCCCTCAAGTCATCAAGCCTGACCACCCTGTCCCCTTAAGTCATCAAGCCTGACCACCCTGTCCCATCAAGTCATCCAGCCTGACCACCCTCTCCCCTCAAGTCATCAAGCTTGACCACCCTGTCCCATCAAGTCATCAAGCCTGACCACCCTGTCCCCTTAAGTCATCAAGCCTGACCACCCTGTCCCATCAAGTCATCCAGCCTGACCACCCTGTCCCCTCAAGTCATCAAGCTTGACCACCCTGTCCCATCAAGTCATCAAGCCTGACCACCCTGTCCCATCAAGTCATCCAGCCTGACCACCCTGTCCCCTCAAGTCACTGAGCCTGACCACCCTGTCCCCTCAAGTCATCAAGCCTGACCACCCAGTCCCCTCAAGTCATCAAGCCTGACCACCCAGTCCCCTCAAGTCATCAAGCCTGACCACCCTGTCCCCTTAAGTCATCAAGCCTGACCACCCTGTCCCATCAAGTCATCAAGCCTGACCACCCTGTCCCCTCAAGTCACTGAGCCTGACCACCCTGTCCCATCAAGTCATCAAGCCTGACCATAGCCCCTTATAACAGAAATCGTGTCATTGTGCAGCACGTGTCGCTGAGCATGTCTTTAACACTACATTGCAGCTGCACAGGATGTCAGCCAGTTTGAGACCGCCTTCAGCGCTGGCTTGACAACACATCTCACCCTCCAAGCCGGAGCGACCGTCATATATGACAAAGTCTTCACCAACATTGGCAACGCCTACGACAACAAAACCGGTGTGTTTACCTGCCCCCAGACCGGCATCTATGTCTTCCAGTACCACGGCCTGTCTATGAGTGACGATACGCTGTGGCTAGAACTCTACCACAACTACAACTACGTGTCGTCAGCCTATGCCCACACCGACAGCGACTTCGCATCTGCTGGCAACTCCGTCATCCTCCACTTGTTTAAGGGGGATACGGTGATGGTGAATGCCGAGCAAGACCAGGAGTCGAACCTGTACGGCGTCAGTGACGAAGTGTACTGCACGTTCTCGGGGTACCTCATTGCCCCGGTGTTTGAGGAGAGCGTTGTTGTAGGGTAGGGGAAATAAATCCAACCAAACATGGCCGACTTGTTTCTCTGGGTGCCGTTGTAAAAAACAACCTTAGCACTACAATGATCATAAGTTTATGTTAAAGTATGGGAGTTGTGATCACCTCAGCACTACGATCCCTTTGTACAACAGCACCGGCTTCACAAACCATCTCTTAGAAAGACGGAAGCAGTACTCAGCATTAACCACACATCATTAGCCCCTTGATCAGCAAAAGATCTCTCTTTAAATTCAATGTCACCACAATGATACTGATTACAGAGACAAATAATTGTGAAAAAAATCATTCACAGGAATGGTCCCGTCAGAGTTGTGTCCCTTTAGTGTGCCAGTAATCCACGATCGTTGGTTCGAATCCAGGTTCTCAACACCAGCGACGCGTGGATTTTACCCGAAGTGGTAAACTCCTTCAGGCTTTCCTCTCACAACGAGCTGACACCATAGAATGATATATTGTTCTAAGTGTTGTGGTTAAAGCATTCGCTCGTCACGACGAAGACCCGGGTTGGATTCCCGACATGGGTACAATGTGTGAAGCCCATTTCTGGTGTCCCCCACCGTGATATTGCTGGAATATTGCTAAAGCAGTGTAAAACCATACTCACTCACTCTAAATGTAGTTACACCTGACTCACTCTCTCACAGATGTAAAATCCACCATGTAACCGCCATGTCTTGTTAATGTTTATAGGGATAATATTTCTGTTGCTTATGTATACAAAAAATAAACACATAAACTGATCACTGCAAAGAGCAATATTTAATACCTTGATCTATCACAGATAACAACAATATCACAGCTTTGTACACATCAAGCCATATCTGTGTGACCCGATGTTGACTCTCTTTCACAGAGGCAAGTATAGGACAAAGGAAAATAGAACACCAGTTTCCATATCAGAGGCGTATATAGACATCTTTTGTACTGAGAATGTGAAGCTTATATCAAGGTTCAGCTCCACAGCAACTGTTTGTTACCATGGAGACACAGCATGGACTACTGATGACCTGCTTGTCATTTCAAATTTAGGTCAAGTCCTTAAGAAATATTTTAACATGGTATTAACGATCTACCTAAATCTGGAACTTGGAACTGGAAGATTAAAAAAGAAATTGTTGGTAAGACAACTTTGGAATAGCCAGTTAATCAGTGATTTTTGATCCAGCATGTTTAAATAAAGGTGTAAAATCAATCAAATATATTGTATTGTATCAAATGTATTGTATTGTACAAATATATTGTTAAGGACTTCTTGTTTTCCATGAGCCAGTTGGTGAAAGTTTTCTCTGGTGTAGACTGTATCGGGAGCCCAGACCCTGAGATCAGCAGCAGTAAATGTATTGCACAATGTTGTGACTAACAGAGGATAATACTTGTTACGTATACATACTTGGTTGTAATATTGTGAACATTACCAATCATAATATCTTCAGAGTACTTTATATGTTGAAGAAAATATAAGTTTGAAATTTAGCTGGTGATTATACCAATGTATTATCCGGATTTAAGAATTATGTCATTCTTTGATTAAAGTAGTGAACACAACTTATGTCATATCAATCTATCATAGCGAAACAGGCGAAATATGAGTATCTTGATATGACTTTGAACATGTTAACAATTTTCAAAAGTATTGAAAACTTGATTAGGGCCCAGTACTAGACTGTATTTTAAAACACAAAATGTTAATTTCTGTCATAATGTGTCTCAAATCACTGAGAAGTAATCATGATTAATCTCAAACCAGTGAGAAATAATTATTATTTATCTCAAGTAATCAAAACATAATCATGATATATCCCAAATAATTCTGAAATAAGCATTATTTGTCCTCTCAACAATTATAAAAGAAGTTTAATCTCAAAACCTGGAGAAAAAATAGCAATTACTTCCTTGTTCGAATTACAGTGTATAAATTATTCATATACATATTTACAGCATTGAAATATCAGTCTTAAAGCCCAGCATAAGGCACTCGTCTCCCATGACGCCTTGCATGTTGTTTGTCTTAGTGGACATACAGACCCTCCCTCCCTACTGCTCCGGTCTCACCAAGACACAGGGTCGTACTAATGATTTTATAACACTTCCTTTACATTGATTGGGCTATAAATTGTTGTTTGCAATCAAATGAGTAAAAACAATAATCCATACAACACAAATAGTAAAATTCATCATAATACATCTATAAACTCGAAAAGACTTCATCAGGTGCGTGATAAATTTTGATTTTTTTCTAATTATATGAAAATAATAAAACAAATATGAAAATTGAGGTTATACAAAATTCTGCTGGAGGAAACATCATATGAAAAATGAAGGCAAGCCTGTATTGTGAGGCCAGTCTGTAATAACAAGGCTAGTATGGTAAACAGGCTGGTAACACAAGCTGTAGCAAGCTGTAGTGGGTCTGTAACAAACTGTAGTGGGTCTGCAACAAGCTGTAGCAGGTCTGTAACAAACTGTAGTGGGTCTGCAACAAGCTGTAGTGGGTCTGCAACAAGCTGTAGCAGGTCTGTAACAAACTGTAGTGGGTCTGCAACAAGCTGTAGTGGGTCTGCAACAAGCTATAGCAGGTCTGCAACAAGCTATAGCAGGTCTGTAACAAACTGTAGTGAGTCTGCAACAAGCTGTAGCAGGCTGGAGTGGGTCTGTAACAAACTGTAGTGGGTCTGCAACAAGCTGTAGTGGGTCTGCAACAAGCTGTAGCAGGTCTGTAACAAACTGTAGCGGGTCTGCAACAGACTAGGTATCCACTCTGATACAATTGATGAGCGTCCGCAGCTGAAGGGGTGGCAACGTTGCATGATGGGTAGGTTTAGAATGGTTGAGTTTGGGAAGGTGAAGGCCATGGACACTGGATCTCTTAGCTGCGTATGGGAAGTGACTTGGAGACTTGTCCTGGAAGAGATGATGATACGCATGATGCAGATGCTCAACACAACCGTAAAAACACCAGTAAACAACACAGAATACTCAAAAATATCAGTTATTTCAAGATCAATAGTTAATGACATGGTCAAGTACTGATATTTTGCTTTTTTTTATTTGTTGAAGAATATTGAGGCATATAAATCGATACACTGGCATTGACATTTAAGAAAATAATTTACCGGTACATCAAAAATGTGTTGCTGTGTTAACACAATCAGGGCACATTCTGTATTCTATACATTCTATAATCGTTCATAGTTAGGAAGAACAAAATAAATCAACAGAGAATCTATTCTCCTCACTTAGACGTTCAGCTTCCACATGTGTTGATCAACACCCCCCCCCCCCCCCCCGAAATACCCCCATCTAGCACCCCTCCCTACTCCCATCAACACCCCCCCCCCCCTCAACCCTGAAACCCCCATCTATCACACCCACCCCATCCTCAAACCCCAATTTATTACAATCCATCCTCAAACCCCCATCTATTGGACCACATCCTCAAACCCCACCCTTAAACCCCCATCTATTACACCTCATCCTCAAACTCCCTTCTATCAAACCCCACCCTCAAACCCCCATCTATCACACCCCACCCTCAAACCTGCATCTATTACATCCCACCCTCAAACCTGCATCTATTACATCCCGCCCTCAACCCCCCATCTGTCACACCCCAACCTGAGCCCCCATTTATCACATCCCATCCTTCAACACCATCCTAAAACCCAATCTATTAAACCAATCCTCAAACCCGATCTATCACACCCACCCTCAAACCCCATCTATCACACCCACCCTCAAACCCCATCCTAAAACACAAACTATTATACCCACCCTCAAACCCCATCCTAAAACCCAATCTATTACAACCAATCCTCAAACCACCATCTATCACACCCACCCTCAAACCCCATCCTAAAACCCAATCTATTACAACCAATCCTCAAACCACCATCTATCACACCCACCCTCAAAAACCCCTCTATTACACCACATCCTCAAACCCCATCTGTTACAACCAATCCTCAAACCACTATCTATCACACCTCATCCTCAAGCCCCCCTCTATCACACTCCATCCTCAAACCCCAATCTATTACACCCACCCTCAAACCCCATCAATCACACCCACCCTCAAACCCACTTTAACACCCCTATCCACTACCAGCAACCACTGCCATACCCCAAACCTCACTATCAACACTTACACCTCCACCTCTTTAAACACATACTGGTATGAGGAAAGAGGTTGTCAGCCCTTATGCAATTGCCTGACGGCTGAAGCTACAATCTACACAAACTAAATCTGTTTACAGTCTGATAAATGACAGCCATAACAACAGAGTGTGTCATTTGACATGCAAAATGGACAATCTGTGAAACTGAAATGAAAGATACACCCATCAACTAAAGAATAATACAAGAATAGAAGTCATGCTGCTGACAGTCTCATCACACAGGTTACCAGGCCATGCAGACTCTGGAGAGACAGGTGCACCTCTGGATACATCACATTCTCATTTGTAAGCTTCAATAGGGCTCCACTTGGAAATGTGCTACTTAAAGAAGAGTTTGAGGGGGGTCCACTTGGAAATGTGTTACTTTAAGAAGAGTTTGAGGGGGGTCCACTTGGAAATGTGTTCCTTTAAGAAGAGTTTAAGGGGGGTCCACTTGGAAATGTGTTCCTTAAAGAAGAGTTTGAGGGGGGTCCACTTGGAAATGTGTTCCTTTAAGAAGAGTTTGAGGGGGGTCCACTTGGAAATGTGTTCCTTTAAGAAGAGTTTAAGGGGGGTCCACTTGGAAATGTGTTACTTTAAGAAGAGTTTGAGGGGGATCCACTTGGAAATGTGTTCCTTTAAGAAGAGTTTGAGGGGGATCCACTTGGAAATGTGTTCCTTTAAGAAGAGTTTGAGGGAGGTCCACTTGGAAATTGGTTAATTTAAGAAGAGTTTGAGGGGGGTCCACTTGGAAATGTGTTACTTTAAGAAGAGTTTGAGGGGGGTCCACTTGGAAATGTGTTACTTTAAGAAGAGTTTGAGGGGGATCCACTTGGAAATGTGTTCCTTTAAGAAGAGTTTGAGGGGGGTCCACTTGGAAATTGGTTAATTTAAGAAGAGTTTGAGGGGGATCCACTTAGAAATGTGTTCCTTTAAGAAGAGTTTGAGGGGGATCCACTTGGAAATGTGTTCCTTTAAGAAGAGTTTGAGGGGGATCCACTTGGAAATGTGTGAATTTGAAAAGGAGTGAGTAGGGGGTGGGGCGGGGGGTCCACCTTAGAAATGTGTTATTTTTAAAAGGTTTGGGCAGGGGTGGGTGGTAATAGCCTCTGGAGCCATAACAGTAGCTCACCTAACCAACAACAGAATCAAAGCCACAGGCCAGCCAAATAATAACAGTGAGTTGAAAGGAGAAAACTAAAAGGCTATAAAACATCCAAGAGTACAACGTCAGGGCCCACTTGCACAAAGCGATCTTAGCGCTACGACTATTGTAAGCCTATGTTAAAGTATGGGATTTATGATCATCTTAGCACTAAGATCGCTTTGTGCAAGTGGGCCCTGGCTAGTGACTGACACACACACACACATATAGTCATACCATTTCTATCCATGGTTGGTAGTATAGTATTAGCTAAGTCCACATTAGCCAAATACTTGGTTATCTTTAGGTAAGCATTAAAATAAAACATTCTTTCATTAAAAAAGACATATATTAGTAATTGTTATGTTACATGTCAGGTCTACCTGGTTCACCCGGTCATGTAGTAATGCAGGAGGTCAGCCTGCAACATGGAGGAACAAGGAAAGCTCTTTGTTATGTTAGTAATTGTTATGTTACATGTCAAGTCTACCTGGTTCACCCGGTCATGTAGTAATGCAGGAGGTCAGCCTGCAACATGGAGGAACAAGGAAAGCTCTTTGTTATGTTAGTAATTGTTATGCTCCAGGTCAGGTCTACCTGGTTCACCCGGTCATGTAGTAATGCAGGAGGTCAGCCTGCAACATGGAGGAACAAGGAAAGCTCTTTGTTATGTTAGTAATTGTTATGCTCCAGGTCAGGTCTACCTGGTTCACCCGGTCATGTAGTAATGCAGGAGGTCAGCCTGCAACATGGAGGAACAAGGGAAGCTCTTTGTTATGTTAGTAATTGTTATGTTACATGTCAGGTCTACCTGGTTCACCCGGTCATGTAGTAATGCAGGAGGTCAGCCTGCAACATGGAGGAACAAGGAAAGCTCTTTGTTATGTTAGTAATTGTTATGCTCCATGTCAGGTCTACCTGGTTCACCCGGTCATGTAGTAATGCAGGAGGTCAGCCTGCAACATGGAGGAACAAGGAAAGCTCTTTGTTATGTTAGTAATTGTTATGCTCCGTGTCAGGTCTACCTGGTTCACCCGGTCATGTATTAATGCAGGAGGTCAGCCTGCAAGATGGAGGAACAAGGAAAGCTCTTTGTTATGTTAGTAATTGTTATGTTACATGTCAGGTCTACCTGGATCACCCGGTCATGTATTAATGCAGGAGGTCAGCCTGCAAGATGGAGGAACAAGGAAAGCTCTTTGTTATGTTAGTAATTGTTATGTTACATGTCAGGTCTACCTGGATCACCCGGTCATGTAGTAATGCAGGAGGTCAGCCTGCAACATGGAGGAACAAGGAAAGCTCTTTGTTATGTTAGTAATTGTTATGTTACATGTCAGGTCTACCTGGATCACCCGGTCATGTAGTAATGCAGGAGGTCAGCCTGCAACATGGAGGAACAAGGAAAGCTCTTTGTTATGTTAGTAATTGTTATGTTACATGTCAGGTCTACCTGGTTCACCCGGTCATGTAGTAATGCAGGAGGTCAGCCTGCAACATGGAGGAACAAGGAAAGCTCTTTGTTATGTTAGTAATTGTTATGTTACATGTCAGGTCTACCTGGTTCACCCGGTCATGTAGTAATGCAGGAGGTCAGCCTGCAACATGGAGGAACAAGGAAAGCTCTTTGTTATGTTAGTAATTGTTATGCTCCAGGTCAGGTCTACCTGGTTCACCCGGTCATGTAGTAATGCAGGAGGTCAGCCTGGAAATGGGGGAACAAGGAAAGCTCTTTGTTATGTCATGCCTGATACTGCTTGAGACTGAACGTGTGAGACATCATTAAACATGTCACTGTGTGAAGCAGATAGGTGAGTTGTACCACCAGAAGTCTCGCCATTGTAGTGGTGAACTGTGTGTACACGGGTATTTCTCATCTCAAACTGGCTCCCACAGGTGATATGGCTTGGGTGAGATCAAGCGGTATCTACATTGCACATATCGCTGCAATGAAATTGCATCACAATACTTTGCAAACCATTGTGACGTCATTGGTTACCATGATGTCACAATCAAATGACATCACTAATGACTCTGCTACTGAAGCTGTTAGCAGTACTTTTTACACCTCAGACACTGCTTTTTACTGTATACAAACTGAAAAAGTTGGAAGAATGATGTTGGATGATAAATACCATCTCACCCGAGTGTCTTTTGATATCAAATACATCAACACTCATTGATAAAAGTGGAAAAAGTTCTTGACAAGCCTCAGAGTTTTCCAACTTTTATCAACTCATGTTGATATATTTGATATGAAAAGACACTTGGGTGAGATTCTCTATTTATATCTGTGGCAGGCAAACTGGCAAGAAACCTATTTTGTCCACAACTTTGAAATATTCAAGTCCTTATTTTCAGAGGTATTCAAATATTGCATTGAACTAAATGAGTCATTTTTGTCTTTTCACATGTCCCTTTGCAAGCTAAAACAGAATTTAAAATCACAATAACATGAAATGGAAAAATTTGTCATTTGAAATTTGTAAGGTGAAAAGAAATAAAAGAATTGGCTCTCAGGCAATGACTTTTGAAAATATAGTGTGGGTGGGTGGTGCTTTTTTTGTTGCTAGTTTAAACTGGTATGTAACCAAATACACAGTTGTGTACCATCAACTTGGGAAAGGGCATCCCTACATAAACAACCATACAAACTCCTATTGCCGCCATTACCATAACACCATTTTTCTTTAGCCTAATATTGACCAACATTTGTTTTAGACTTTGGCTACTATGCCATGGGTCTGCTAGAACACCTAGAGAAGTTCACGTTCATTCATCTCTGGAGAATAGTTTGGCAATGAAATAATGATTTTGGCAGATTATTTTGTGATCATTACAAGTATGTACTATTTCAGATCTACCAACAACAATTCTGAGCTTACACACATCCTTGCTAAACAGTCCAAAAGTTTTTTCTTGCTGAATCAGTCAATTATTCACAGCAGAAATTTAGATCCTTCACTTCTTAAATATTAATATGTAAGGCCTTGTATTGGCAAAAAACTTGTATTGCAATATATAGTGTCATAAATCGTGTATAAATGTTCTAATTATTATTATATAAATGTTCTAATAATCACAGATGTGACTCACATCAATACTTACAGATAAATCATGTATAACTGTTCTAATAATCACAGATGTGACTCCCATCAATACTTACAGATAAATCGTGTATAATTGTTCTAATAATCACAGATGTGACTCACATCAATACTTACAGATAAATCATGCATAACTGTTCTAATAAACACAGATGTGACTCACATCAATACTTACAGATATATAGTGATGCAGTTTCTTCTTGGCGAGCTTGTAATGGCGACACATGTGGTCTTGCGCCATCTTACGGACAGGGGAGATCACTGTGCGAGACTTGGTGATGGGCGGAGGTGGCATGGGCTTCTCCCAGACGTAGTCATTCTCAAAGGCTGACTGAACCATGGGGAACCTGGTGCCAACCTCGTCCATGTGAGGGATGCTAGAAGGAAGGAAGGCCAAAACTGTGTTTGAGATCTCACGCCATTGTGGAGACAAATATATTGGAGAGCCACCAGAACAAGAGTTTGCCACTAACGTGGCTATATCCCCCGCCCCTGTTGCAGAATTTATGACATAATTAAATCTAAAGAAACCCTAACCTTTTTTAACCGAGGTGGAGCTTGTCATGGAAATTGTAAAAAAAAGAAGAGTTTGGAACCAAAGTCTATCTTGCTGCCAGGGAAACATAAAAAAAAAAATTCTAAAATTTCTGAATAGCAAAAGGCACCAGTTCAGCATGTATTTGACAGACCTGCAAAGTTTGATGAAAAAATATTGAACGGTTTCTGAGTTACGCTCCGGAAACGAAATGTGACGGACGGACGGACGGATGGATGGAGCCCGTTTCTATATCCCTCGCCAACTTTGTTGGACGGGGGATAATAAAAGAACACAAGACCTCTGTTGAAAAATCTGACATGAAATCTATCCTTTCCGAAAATCTCATAAAAAAACCTGATCACCATATTTTCTGGCAACAAAACAAGATTCTCCATACCAACATCATCTTCCTGAGAGTCATGACGAACTATACACTGCAACCCTTTGGCCACTTACTGTGGTTTGTGGAGGATGTTCCCGGACTTGTCCAGAGGAGGCAGGGTCAGGTCAGGGTCATGTGACCTTGTCATGTGACTAGGCTTGTTCCTGCGATGGCGAGAGCCGGACACAGGGATGATGGGAACGTTGGTTGTCCACTGCATCTGGAGGACACCGAAGTTACTTCTGCCAGAGTCTCTGAAACAGATGGAGAGGTGTGGTCAACAACAGGGGGACGTTACATCCGTGATTGTGTTATTGTCAAAGGATGCTTAACCTTCTTCATATAGAAATACGAACCAGTCTGGATTAAGACATACTATATAAATTAGTACACAATCATCCCGGCTCATCTCAGTAGCAAACACCCTGCCTTATATTTTATTTTTTTTTATATTTATTTTTGTAACTATTCCATGCATGTGTGTCCAGCTGTAGATCATCCATTTCGTCCATGAAGACCTCCTGCTGCACTTACACGTTCTGTGTGTGGACACTGAGTCGCCCAGGCACTGCCTCCACCTTGTGTTTCTCTGAGTCCGACTTGTCCTGAAAACAAATGGTTTAAGAGATATACAATGTGCAGTACATCATTTCTTTAAAATTAACCTTCCAAATCATATCGATTGAACATTACATCCACTCACAGTATTTTGATTATTCTTCAAAATCATACCGTTGTTGAACTTTGACATACAATTACAGCGTTGTGGCTGACAGTCCACATACCTTCTCCGCCACCCGGACTGTGTGCAGCAATCGGAGTCCGGCTTCCCCCGGGGATGTGGGGAGGTCTGAGCTGATGTAGGAGATTGGTGGCAGGCTGGACATCTTCTTCATGTTGCCCTCCTCAAAGTCCTTCTTCACCATGCCCATCCTGCGCCTCTCCATGGCAGTGGGAGTCTCAAAAAATTCCTTCCAGTCTTTCCCTGCAAAAACAGAACTCAAGTAATATAATTCCTCCCAATATTTCCCTCCAACCACAGAACTGAAAGAATTCCTTCCAATCTTTCCCTCCAACCATAGAACTCAAAGAATTCCTTCCAATCTTTCCCTCCAACCATAGAACTCAAAGAATTCCTTCCAATCTTTCCCTCCAACCACAGAACTGAAAGAATTCCTTCCAATCTTTCCCTCCAACCATAGAGCTCAAAGAATTCCTTCCAATCTTTCCCTCTAACCACAGAAGTGAAAGAATTCCTTCCAATCTTTCCCTCCAACCACAGAAGTGAAAAAATTCCTTCCAATCTTTCCTTCCAACCACAGAAGTGAAAGAATTCCTTCCAATCTTTCCCTCCAACCATAGAACTCAAAGAACTGCTTCCAATCTTTCCCTCTAACCACAGAAGTGAAAGAATTCCTTCCAATCTTTCCCTCCAACCACAGAAGTGAAAGAATTCCTTCCAATCTTTCCCTCCAACCATAGAAGTCAAAGAATTCCTTCCAATCTTTCCCTCCAACCATAGAACTGAAAGAATTCCTTACAATCTTTCCCTCCAACCACAGAAGTGAAAGAATTCCTTCCAATCTTTCCCTCCAACCATAGAACTCAAAGAATTCCTTCCAATCTTTCCCTCCAACCATAGAACTCAAAGAATTCCTTCCATCTTTCCCTCCAACCATAGAACTCAAAGAATTCCTTCCAATCTTTCCCTCCAACCATAGAACTGAAAGAATTCCTTCCAATCTTTCCCTCCAACCACAGAAGTGAAAGAATTCCTTCCAATCTTTCCCTCCAACCATAGAACTCAAAGAATTCCTTCCAATCTTTCCTTCCAACCATAGAACTGAAAGAATTCCTTCCAATCTTTCCCTCTAACCACAGAAGTGAAAGAATTCCTTCCAATCTTTCCCTCCAACCACAGAAGTGAAAGAATTCCTTCCAATCTTTCCCTCCAACCATAGAACTCAAAGAACTCCTTCCAATCTTTCCCTCCAACCATAGAACTGAAAGAATTCCTTCCAATCTTTCCCTCCAACCACAGAAGTGAAAGAATTCCTTCCAATCTTTCCCTCCAACCATAGAACTCAAAGAATTCCTTCCAATCTTTCCTTCCAACCATAGAACTGAAAGAATTCCTTCCAATCTTTCCCTCTAACCACAGAAGTGAAAGAATTCCTTCCAATCTTTCCCTCCAACCACAGAAGTGAAAGAATTCCTTCCAATCTTTCCCTCCAACCATAGAACTCAAAGAACTCCTTCCAATCTTTCCCTCTAACCACAGAAGTGAAAGAATTCCTTCCAATCTTTCCCTCCAACCACAGAAGTGAAAGAATTCCTTCCAATCTTTCCCTCCAACCATAGAACTCAAAGAATTCTTTCCAATCTTTCCTTCCAACCATAGAACTGAAAGAATTCCTTCCAATCTTTCCCTCTAACCATAGAAGTGAAAGAATTCCTTCCAATCTTTCCCTCCAACCACAGAACTGAAAGAATTCCTTACAATCTTTCCCTCTAACCACAGAAGTGAAAGAATTCCTTCCAATCTTTCCCTCCAACCATAGAACTGAAAGAATTCCTTCCAATCTTTACCTCCAACCATAGAACTCAAAGAATTCCTTCCAATCTTTCCCTCCAACCATAGAAGTCAAAGAATTCCTTCCAATCTTTCCCTCCAACCATAGAACTCAAAGAATTCCTTCCAATCTTTCCCTCCAACCATAGAACTCAAAGAATTCCTTCCAATCTTTCCCTCCAACCATAGAACTCAAAGAATTCCTTCCAATCTTTCCCTCCAACCATAGAACTCAAAGAATTCCTTCCAATCTTTCCCTCCAACCATAGAACTCAAAGAATTCCTTCCAATCTTTCCCTCCAACCATAGAACTCAAAGAATTCCTTCCAATCTTTCCCTCCAACCAAAGAACTGAAAGAATTCCTTCCAATCTTTCCCTCCAACCATAGAACTCAAAGAATTCCTTCCAATCTTTCCGTCCAACCATAGAACTGAAAGAATTCCTTCCAATCTTTTCCTGTAACAATAGAACTGTTTGTATTTTGTTTCATTTGTAATGTTTCATAGTCTGACTGGACTGCACCTTGAGAGGTGATGGTAGGGGTGGACATAGGACAGTGAAGGGATGATCGATCTCTGTAATTATTAATGTTGAAGAAAGATAATTTATCTGCTTCAATACATTTGATGCTTCTACTAGTTTGAGACATCCAGCCCACTCCATTGTGACATCACAAATCCTACAAAGAGACAAGATTAGCATGGAAGCGAGTACATCAACACTCCAGGACGGTGAGGTACATCCAAGAAAAGTATATTGACTCCTACCTTTCTTAGGAGGCGGAGACGGTCCATTGGATGATGACTTCACTGGTGACAGCTGCCGCTGCTTGACTTTCTTCTTGTATGACGCCACCGGGCCGATGCGGTTGCCCTGGGAGGAGGAGTCTGAGATGTCCCTGCCGATGCCGGAGTCGTAGAAGCTGACCCCCTCCTGGGAGTGAATCTCCGTCTAGAGCACCAACAGCCACATGGTTTAACATCCAAACTCATTCAAATCAGATCTTAGTTCTCCCTACCACTGAACAAAGATCTGGAGACATTCCATTGCAGGTCATGTCAGGACTTTGCATAGCCTGTGGGAAGTACTGCCATACAATATCGGCAATCTATAAGGCATTCTAGAATGTTCTTTTGTTCAGTTTTCAAATTATGAATCGAGAACTTTGTCAGAATATTTTAAAAACGTTGTCTGAAATAGATGTAGCCAGTATGAAACTTGTGGCTCATAGCTAAAGAAAGCTGCTTCCTGATTGGCTAATGTCAACTTCTTGTTAGTCATTTCATTGTCGGTCAAAGTTCGCCAGAAGGCCATTCAGACGTGACCTGTAATGGGATGTCCTCAGATCTTTGTTTTGCAGTTGTGAGAAGTAAGGTCTGACTCTAATGAGACTGTTAACATCAAGATGTGACGTACATAAACTATAAAAGCGTTCTGGCAAAAACAGAAGACCAAAATCACAATCCCTCTTTAACTTGAATCTTCCCCCCCAAAAGCTCTTCTCCATGACAGGAGATTCCATGGTGATTCTCTTCAGCCATAAATGATTCATCACAACAAAGCTTCATCCCTCAGGCAGCTTCAAACCAATGGGAGGAAGGGCTTGCTTATGTTCAACAGCAATATCTACAACTACCAGTCTCTCTTACAGAACCAAGAGCATATATTTCATGAAACAATCTCCCCATTTCCTTCCACTCCTCATCCCATACTCTACCAGCCTACACTCATCCCATACTCTAGCTGTCTACACTCATCCCATACTCTACCTGTCTACACTCATCCCATACTCTAGCTGTCTACACTCATCCCATACTCTACCTGTCTACACTCATCCCATACTCTACCTGTCTACACTCATCCCATACTCTACCTGTCTACACTCATCCCATACTCTACCAGCCTACACTCATCCCATACTCTACTAGCCTACACTTGTCCCATACTCTACCTGTCTACACTCATCCCATACTCTACCAGCCTACACTTGTCCCATACTCTACCTGTCTACACTCATCCCATACTCTACCAGCCTACACTTGTCCCATACTCTACCTGTCTACACTCATCCCATACTCTACCAGCCTACACTTGTCCCATACTCTACCTGTCTACACTCATCCCATACTCTAGCAGCCTACACTCATCCCATACTCTACCAGCCTACACTTGTCCCATACTCTACCTGCCTACACTCGTCCCATACTCTACCAGCCTACACTCATCCCATACTCTACCAGCCTACACTCATCCCATTCTCAACTCTCTATAAGAGATTTGAGGGTTCCCTAATACTGGCGGTGTTTGTTATTGAATTATCTGTATTTGACCTTATAGATAATTAGAGTCAAAGGCTATATGTTTGTCTAATCAACTACTATCATCATTATTTGAATATGGATGGAGACCTTTAAGTATTGATTCATCCAGTTCAATATAATAATAGTAATATGGGGGTATGTATTTAGAGCACAAAAGTTAAAGATGACAAATGGAGAGCCTAACCCTCTGTTATTATCAAGTATCAGTCACGGCTGTTTCGCAGGACCACCAACAAAACCTTTTTCAGTTTTAGCCTCATCAGGCTCACCTATCTATTAGAATGAAAGGCAATACCGTGTGTATAGCTGCCAAGTGCGAAGGAACAGTTTCAAATGTGATATAAATGCAGCAACTATCGTCATAACAGTGGTTCTCAATGGAATCACCACACAGCCGCTATTGGAACTGAAAGCATTGGTTTGTTTGTTTGTTTGTTTGTTGTTTAATGCCGCACTCAGCAATATTTCAGCTATATGACGGCTGTCTGCAAATAATCGAGTCTGGACCAGACAATCCAGTGATTGACATCATGAGCATCGATCCACGCAATTGGGATCGATGATATGCATCAACCAAGTCAGCAAGCCTGACCACCCGATCCCGTTAGTCGCCTTTTACGACAAGCATAGTCTCCTGTTACGGCAAGCATGGGTTGCTGAAGACCTATTCTACCCCGGATCTTCACGGGTCTGAAAGCATTGGCAACTGAACACATTCGTTCATATCTGTTAAATTCCGCATTTCGACAACTACAACAACACTTACTGTCGCCACAGCACACAAAACATAATCAATGCATTTGGTTCCAATATGGAAGCTATATTACCAATACGCCTTCATTTTTAACTCAGTCAACACTTTGTATTCCAACAGATAGGAGGGCCTGCTAGTGTTGTGAGTGAGAGAGTTGGGTTTAACGCCGCTTTTAACAGTATTCCAGTTATATCGCGGTGTGTCAGCTTAATGTGGGAGGAAAGCCCGAAGTGATGCAGGTCTCAGACGTTTACCACTTCGATGAAACCCACGAGCACGGGTATGGTGCTGACAAACCTAGAAACATAATCGGGGCGAACTGGGATTCGAACTCACAATCATAGGTTTCTTGCGTGCCCAAGGGATGCAACTCTGCACAGCGAGCTAGTGCTGTGAACAATGATATACCTTCTCAGGATGACAACTCACTTGTTGGGAGATCTCAGTTGGAATGACGATGTCCTGATGGTCCGAGTCGGCAGACATTGACAGAGAGTGAAGGTCGGAGTCTTTGTCCGAACTCATTCTGGCGTACTCTATCAGGCGCTTACTGAGCACCTGCCCGGAATCCCGCTGCTCGGAACGACCTTGACCTTCAAGTAAAATACCAGCTCAGCTAGAGTCAAATTTGTTGGAATGTCTGGTAAATCCATGACATGCTGATATGCTGATAGAAACGAATAAGGGAACAATGAAAATAGGGAAATAAGCTTTACTGTTGGTACATTTGAAATAGCATGCATACAAATTCAACACAGAATCTAATGTTGAGTTGTGTTTGTGTGCAATGTTTCCAACGTGTATTTGGCAGACAAGCGTGGAACCCATGATAGCATATCATTGTACTGTGTCTTAAACTAAGTGTTCGCTTATTCATTTCCAACTGTATATCAAGACATGGTCATGTGACTGGATGATCATGTTGCTGTGGTGGCTGTGGTGCTATGGTGGTGTTCTCAACCAACACGATCAGCTGTGAGTGTCTCCCTGCTTTCTAACCATGCTGTTGAGAGGTACCATCAGAGCAAGAAAATACACAATATCAGAAAAATGTTCCCGGTCCATAATGTCCTTTCACATCGACATGAAATAACCTACTGTCTTTGAGGAAGAGAATCTATGGATGTCAACTTCTTTATAATGAGGAACACAACATTTCGGAGTATATGCTTACTCCTTCATCAGGTGAATGAATGCTATGAAGCAGAGAACATATATATATGTACCTGTAAGAACTACAAAAGTAACACGATAACAAAGGTGAAAACTGAACAGAGCATTTCAGAGCTCCAGATAAGCTGCGTATCTGCGTGAAATACGCATCAGAAATGCAGAAATACGCAGTAAAATATAATCCAAGCGTATCAAATACACAACGAACATTACAGATACGCTACAAAAATAAAATTTGTGCGTATCAGTAAAATATTGTGAAGTAACCCTGCGTATTCGATTAGCAAATCAGCAACTTATTTTGAAATTATAAACGGGCATTTCGTCAACCTTGCCAACCTCCACGATGACAGTCACATCATGATCATTTGCCATCACACTTTCATGTGGAAGTATCGTGGTATTTTTGAGTCCTATAAAGCTCTCGAACCCACACAAGACAAGTTTGCAGGGACTAGATGAATAGTGTTTTTAAATATTTAACTTAAATACCCACATGTGTAAAAACTAGTGGGTAACAGAAATTTGAATACGCAGATAGAATTACTGATACCCAATGATTTTAAAATGCATGGGTAAAATACCCACAACACCAAAAGCTTATCTGGAGCTCTGGCATTTACTGTCATTGTTTTTTTTTAAAGTCTGCTTTTCCAATCTTCCTCCTGCCCGTATTCATGTGAATAGGACCCATAAACGGTTAATGCACAGATGTCTTGAGCAGTGAATTCATTCAAAACAATATACAAACACATCAAGTCTCCCGAAAACGTCTGACAAAAATTTCATAATTTATTGTAGCCTAGCCAAACTTTTCATCTCAAACAACAAGATGAAAAATATGCCAGGTACACGACCGACCATGAGGTGAACCAAAACATAATGGAATGAATATTTTAAAACTGCACACGCTATTCAACATGATCAACAATGTAAGCTTAAATATATATTGTCATTGATCAGTAGTAGAATAGGTCAATGAGTGCCGGTCAGCATTGTCTAACAGGCAAACCACAACCAGACTATTTGTAGAAATAAGAAAATTTCCTGAAATGTAAATAATTACCTAGAATTTCTCCTGAAACATTCTAGTTATTGGGAAGTAAATGAGAAAAACAGACTGAAATATGGTATCCAATTGTCCATTATTTCTAAAAATGCAGAGAATACATTAAAAATTGAGTCCAACTCAAGTCTAGAATAATTTGGTAAGTCTAGATTGCCTCAGCTCTGAAATTAAGCATTGTTCTGGGCTCTATTTGGATTATATTTTTCGATTTGTAGCTATATATTGTGAAATAATATTTGGGGGACTAAATGTCAGTCTATGTCTATTTAACCAGTCACCTGTGTCTTAGACTCGCTGCATGTCCATATATAGGTTTAACTATTGCAATAGAGTATATATCAGAAACACACACCTCGCAACTACAGTCGTCTTCAGAGTGAGTGAGTGAGTATGGTTTTACGCCGCTTTTAGCAATATTCCAGCAATATCACGGCGGGGGACACCAGAAATGGGCTTCACACATTGTACCCATGTCGGGAATCGAACCCGGGTCTTTGGCGTGACGAGCGAACGCTTTAACCACTAGGCTACCCGACCGCCCTCATCTTCAGAACAATATGTACTACTATATAAAGGGATATGAATTGGATTCAGTCTTATATGGAAATGCTACAACATCTACTGATACTAACCTTGCTATTGTACAATCTGTCCATTTATTCATTGCAAAATCTAAAAGATTTAAAATTTAAATGTCTTCTTTACGATGACATCAATGAAATAGTTGTTTGTATGCTGGTATGCTGGTATGTAGAGGTATAGGTGTACAAGCATACATGTATATGGGTAGCAGAGGCGGATACAGCTTTTTTGAAAAGGGGGGGTGCACAACTAAGATCTATTTATTGTCTTTGGTGGTAATTTATACAGAAATAAAGATTTTTTTTGAAATAAAAAGGGGGGTGCGCACCCCCGCACCCCCGCTCTGTATCCGCCCATGGGTATACGCACATGTGCATGGATGCACCGGTTTGGTTATGTGCCGATATATATATTTCTGTGTGACTTGTATATTCACATTATAATATTTGCAATAGTAAGTGCAATTAATCTAAATTTATTGTTTTATGTACAGTTTACTCTCATTAATTGTTAAATGTCCTTTGTAGGGAGAGGTGTTTAAATAGGTTAACCTGTTCACCAATCCCATCCTTTTGGGGGGAAATAAATATTGTTTAAATCAGAAACACACACATTTTCTACACTATTTCTGTATACTGATACATATACTAATATATACTACAAATTTACCAAAAAATTTTTATTTACGTATTAAGCATGTTAAATGAGACATATCCAAATTACCTTTCCCAAATGATAACTTAGAAAAAGTTGATATAAGCCTTTATCATCCAAAACTGGCTCCCACAGGAGATATGCTTGGATGAGATCAAGCGATATCTACACTGTAGATATCGCTGCAATGAAATTACATCACAATGCTTTGCAGACCATTGTGATGTCACTGGTTACCATGACGTCACAATCAAATGACATCACTAATGGCTCTGCTACTGAAGCTGTTTGCAGTACTTTTTACACTGAAGACACTGCTAATTACTGTCTACAAATTGAAAAGTTGAAAGAATGATGTTGGATGATAAATAAAATCTCACCCTCGTGTCTTTTGATATCAAATATATCAACACGAGTTGATAAAAGTGGCAAAAATCCTCGGCAAACCTCGGAATTTTTCCACTTTTATCAACTCGTGTTGATATATTTGATATCAAAAGACACTCGGGTGAGATTCTGGACCACAACAGTGTGTTTCTTTGTGAAAAAACAGCATTGAATCGATGTAATTCAACACAATCAGAACAACGTGAATCGAACTACTACCAACAGAATATTAACATCAATATCCCTATAATGTTGAGAAACGTTCACATAAAATATTAAACAATTTATTACTGTTAGGCTATCAGAAAATATTTACATCTGTTCTTATTATTTTAAGAAAAGGGTGACAAAGGACAAATTGTGTTTTACTCAAGATATGATTTAAATGTAGTTTTCATAAACCATTTCAAGCATGGACACAATGCTAGGACACCTTATACCATTGTAGCAGTTTACCCAACACTCAACTGACCTGTACAGCTTCCATCATATCTGTACCATGCTATAAATATAAATAAATATATACACCCCCACAGCATCTACAACATAAGTATTAGGTAAGTATACAGTCATCACAGAGTAAGCACCTACCTGTTTGCTGACTGTGATGGCGATGCCATGAATAACAAGCGCCTCTACCTGTCATATAATTAAAACAGTCTCTATTTTCACGACTGAGGAGTCACAGAGGGCAAATGCCCCTATGAGCACAGTTATCGACTAATCAGAGACCTGGTCTTTTGATGAGCGGTCGGGCAGTGGTCTGTTAGCGTAGCTTGAAACTGCTGCCAAACACGCCAGTCTCGCATAACAATGGCTACTTGTTTAATCCCAGGTGGGGATTTGGGAATGAAGATCTGCAGTTTGAAATGTGAGTTGGGAGGTACGGGGGGGAGGGGGGGGGGGGGTACAGAGGGTGGCTGTGTGTGACTGCTTCACACCTGACAGGTATCAGGGTAAGACCTGGGTGGCGAGGGGCACTGGTAACAGTTCACACGCAGGTGGCCACACGCCACTCACACTGTACTCGTGAAGAAGCACATCCCGTCTACACAGGCTTGGGGCATTACAGACACATATTTAACTAAAATACTACGAACTATATTTACATGTATATTAGTGTGTTGTTGTCATTTATCACAATACTTCTAATTGATGTTCACACTATGCAACCATCTCAGGGAACACAACAATTGACATTTTCAATCATTCTAAAAGAACTGTCACTTTTTCATTATTTCTGTAAACAAAATAAAAAAATTTACAAACAAATTATTCATGATACCAATATTACTTCAAAATAAAAATCCAGAAAGAGCCCAATATTTAATCCACCATTGATACATACACATCTATAAACTCAATTTGTACTCGTGACCCTCCCAGGCAACGACAAGGAGGACCCCCCCACCTCACCTCATCCCCATACAGGTGGGGTGAAGGGGTATTCGCCTACTGTGGAACTCGGAGATAAGAGTGATCCCACATCTCCTGCACTACTTAGCCTGTGCCATGATACCTGTGTGACAAGGTTATCTACGCTCTGCCCTCACGTCCATCACGCCCGTATTGTCCTCGGGCTGAGATCCCAGCAAACTGCAAGGAGTTTACGATAGACACTCCAAGATTAACAGGGATTAACCTAATCCTGCTGACCAAGGGAGGATCACCCGATTGATCGTGTTACTGGGCTAGTTGGAGCGTGTCTGTTATATTCCACCAACAACATGGCAATTAGTCAAGCTCAATTGGCGGACGTAGGTACCGTGACATAGGTTTGTGATCAGGGCGATCATACGGACGAGTTTGCTTTTGTTATTGTACTGAGCTGGTGTGATACCAGGTATTTGTGTCAGATCATTACAACAGCAATATTGTGTTAAGTCTGAACTATTGCCAGGTTTTTATCCATTATGGATTATTTGACAATAACCAATCAAGGATCATCTGTATCAGAGTTGTGTTTTCTTGGCAGTAGTGGCACAAGAACACATAGAGCCTCATGGCCGCCAACACCTTTATATCTCTCCATGTGTCACATCTCCAGATGGTGGGCACACAGAACGCCCTTAGCAGCATGGGGTTAATAAAGTAGAGCCACGGCACTGTAGCTCACCTGAATCAGGCAGAAATAATTTAATGATGCTTCAGCCTAGAATTACAATGATACAAAGATGTGTTCCAAAGATGGAGCATGATTTCAGCTTCTTCAGCCAACAATATATATATATATATATATATATATATATATATATATATATATATATATATATATATATATATATATAGTAATAATTAAATAAGTGGAGTAAGATTGAACACAGTTTTAATAGGCTAGCGCTTTCAACTCGTACCACGTACAAGTCTCATCAGGCCATAACTGAATAACGGACATGAAGTAATAACATATAGTTACATGATGTCATAACATTTAGGAAACTATGACGTCACAATACCAAGGTGACAATGGACAAATAACTTACGCCTTTACATTTAACTTAGGCGCGTATTTATGAATGAAATGTTGCTCTTTTTGAAACAATGTAGGTTCATGATCAAAATTTAGCTTATATAGCGGGAAAACTAAAAAGTTGCCATTTCCACATGCTTCTAAATGTTCACTGAGTGGAATATATATACAAAAATGAGGTAAATGTTCACTCGGTGTACATGTAATATATAATAAAATAATAAAGTCCACGTTAGTCCATCATCTTCTTTATATCAGTTTCATACATAGTACTTTCGCTGTCTCATGATAGCTCTTCAGTGTAACTGACAATGACATATATATATATTTAGTGCAAAGATCATTCCACTGTCAAGGTCAACGTCATCTTAATCTATTCAAATAAAAAGAAAGTTATGTAAAATTTATTTATCTACCTGGAGAACCATATTTGTTGGACTTACCAGAAAAACAAGGAAGTTTTGTGACTGGGAAACGAGAAACGAGAAATGGAAAATGGGAGTCATTGGAGTGTGTCCATGGTAACAAGGGGTAGGGTCATGTAGTTGACACTTACCTTTGAGGGTGGCTCTACCACTGTCCGTGGCGGCGGCGCGACTCCTTCCTGATCCTTCAGTATGGGGCTCCGGGTATGAGCTTCCAGAACCTCCCTTGGGACGGAATCTGTAGAAATACAACTTTCCGTAACTTTCATTTGTAGTCCATGTCCCATTGAGGGGCGAGATGGAGGGGAGGGGTGAGATGGAGGTGAGGGGCGAGATGGAGGGGAGAGTTGAGATGGAGGGGAGGGGCGACATGGAGGGGAGGGGTGAGATGGAGGGGAGAGTTGAGATGAAGGGGAGGGGCGAGATGGAGGTGAGGGGCGAGATGGAGGTGAGGGGCGAGATGGAGGGGAGGGGCGAGATGGAGGGGAGGGGCGAGATGGAGGGGAGGGGCGAGATGGAGGTGAGGGGCGAGATGGAGGTGAGGGGCGAGACGGAGGTGAGGGGCGAGATGGAGGGGAGGGGCGAGATGGAGGGTAGGGGCGAGATGGAGGTGAGGGTTGAGACGGAGGTGAGGGGCGAGATGAAGGGGAGGGATGAGATGGAGGGGAGGGGTGAGATGGAAGGTAGGGGCGAGATGGAGGTGAGGGTTGAGACGGAGGGGAGGGGCGAGATGGAGGGGAGGGGCGAGATGGAGGGGAGGGTTGAGATGGAGGGGAGGGTTGAGATGGAGGTGAGGGGCGAGATGAAGGGGAGGGGCGAGATGGAGGGGAGGGGCGAGATGGAGGGGAGGGTTGAGATGGAGGTGAGGGGCGAGATGGAGGAGAGGGGCGAGATGGAGGAGAGGGGCGAGACAGAGGGGAGGGGTGGGATGGAGGGAAGGGTTGAGATGGAGGGGAGGGGCGAGATGGAGGTGAGGGGCGAGATGGAGGGGAGGGGCGAGATGGAGGGAAGGGGCGAGATGGAGGGAAGGGGCGAGATGGAGGGAAGGGGCGAGATGGAGGGGAGGGGTGAGATGGAGGGAAGGGGCGAGATGGAGCTGAGGGGTGAGATTGAGGTGAGGGGCGAGATGGAGGTGAGGGTTGAGATAGAAGGGAGGGGCAAGATGGAGGGGAGGGGCGAGACGTGGGGAGGGGCGAGACGGAGGGGAGGGTTGAGATGGAGGGGAGGGGCTAGATGGAGGGAAGGGGCGAGATGGAGGGGAGGGGCGAGATGGAGGTGAGGGGCAAGATGGAGGAGAGGGGCGAGATGGAGGGGAGGGGCGAGATGGAGGGGAGGGGTGAGATGGAGGTGAGGGGCAAGATGGAGGTGAGGGGCAAGATGGAAGTGAGGGGCCAGATGGAGGGAAGGGGCGAGATGGAGGGGAGGGGCGAGATGGAGAGGAGGGGTGAGATGGAAGTGAGGGGCGAGATGGAGGGGAGGGGTGAGGGGGGTCAGGAGGAGCGGCGAGACAGAGGGGAGGGGCAAGATGGAGGGGAGGGGCGAGACGGAGGGGAGGTGCCTCACTCTCGCAGTGTGGGTCTGAACCCCGGATACGACTCAACCCAAAAATTACAAGAATATGTACTTTACTAGGAAAGTGTTATCCCAAATATAACATTTGTTACATTTGACCACTTTCTAAATGGCGTTGTGAGTTCATACTATAAAGAAATTGCCATTCAAAAAAATAACTTGTCTTTACTGTTACTACCAACACACACCATTGTTGCAGGCATACAGTGTCAACAGCACAAATGTTTCAATGCCATCTAGAAATCACAACCACAAACAAATGCAATGGTTACTATGGCAACACAGAAATGCATTAAATTCTGACCTTGACTCCACCCGAAGCAGGACCGTGGTCTCAGACGTCCAGCTGCCCCTGAAATGTCACAGGAGAGGCAGTGAGTGAGTGAGTGAGTGAGTGAGTGAGTGAGGGGTTGAGTGAGTGAGTGAGTGGTTGTGAGTGAGTGAGTGAGTGAGTGAGTGGTTCAGTGAGTGAGTGAGTGAGTGGTTCAGTGGTTGAGTGAGTGAGTGAGTGGTTGAGTGGTTGAGTGAGTGAGTGAGTGAGTGAGTGAGGGGGTGAGTGAGTGAGTGAGTGAGTCAGTGAGTCAGTGGTTCAGTGGTTGCGTGAGAGAGTGAGTCAGTGAGGGAGTGAGTGGTTGAGTGGTTCAGTGAGTGAGTGAGTGAGTGGTTCAGTGAGTGAGTGAGTGAGAGTGGTTGAATGGTTGAGTGAGTGCTGGAGTGGTTGAGTGGTTGAGTGAGTGAGTGAGTGAGTGATTGGCTGAGTGGTTGAGTGAGTGGTTCAGTGGTTGAGTGAGTGAGTGGTTAAGTGAGTGAGTGACTGAGTGGTTGAGTGAGTGAGTGGCTGAGTGGTTGAGTGAGTGGTTGAGTGAGTGAGTGGTTAAGTGAGTGAGTGACTGAGTGGTTGAGTGATTGAGTGGTTGAGTGAGTGAGTGAGTGAGTGGTTCAGTGAGTGAGTGAGTGAGAGTGGTTGAATGGTTGAGTGAGTGAGTGAGTGAGTGAGTGGTTGAGTGAGTGAGTGAGTGAGTGAGTGAGTTAGTGTGTGAGTGAGTGAGTGAGTGAGTGAGTGAGTGGTTAAGTGAGTGAGTGACTGAGTGGTTGAGTGATTGAGTGGCTGAGTGGTTGAGTGAGTGGTTGAGTGAGTGGTTGAGTAAGTGAGTGAGTGAGTGAGTGAGTGAGTGAGTGAGTGAGTGAGTGAGTGAGTGAGTGAGTGAGTGAGTGAGTGAGTGAGTGAGTGAGTGAGTGAGTGAGTGAGTGAGTGAGAGTGGTTGAATGGTTGAGTGAGTGCTGGAGTGGTTGAGTGGTTGAGTGAGTGAGTGAGTGAGTGATTGGCTGAGTGGTTGAGTGAGTGGTTGAGTGAGTGAGTGGTTAAGTGAGTGAGTGACTGAGTGGTTGAGTGAGTGAGTGGCTGAGTGGTTGAGTGAGTGGTTTAGTGAGTGAGTGGTTAAGTGAGTGAGTGACTGAGTGGTTGAGTGATTGAGTGGCTGAGTGGTTGAGTGAGTGAGTGAGTGAGTGAGTGAGAGTGGTTGAATGGTTGAGTGAGTGAGTGAGTGAGTGAGTGAGTGAGTGAGTGAGTGAGTGAGTGAGTGAGTGAGTGAGTGAGTGAGTGAGTGAGTGGTTGAGTGAGTGAGTGAGTGAGTGAGTGAGTGAGTTAGTGTGTGAGTGAGTGAGTGAGTGAGTGAGTGAGTGGTTAAGTGAGTGAGTGACTGAGTGGTTGAGTGGCTGAGTGGTTGAGTGAGTGGTTGAGTGAGTGAGTGAGTAAGTGAGTGAGTGAGTGAGTGAGTGAGTGAGTGAGTGAGTGAGTGAGTGAGTGAGTGAGTGAGTGTGTGAGTGAGTGAGTGAGTGAGTGAGTGAGTGAGTGAGTGAGTGAGTGAGTGTGATGTTTTGACTAGGTAAATGATGTTCCTTCAAGTGTATGTAAAATACAACTGAGGTATTACATGTACCTGATTGGTCTTTTAGCATTTTGAATTTGATCTTTGAAAAATTTATGTTGGCACTGACAATATTACTTTATAGTAATTTAGCGTTAGCTACCGGGATGAGTCCAGTGACTGGCAGGCCTGCCACCTCCAGCATTCAGGGGCCATGAGATTACAGAAATACTGTTCAAAGCAGCATTAGGCCAAATTCACTCACTCAGTACATGGGGTAGATCACACTGATGGAAACCAAACGGAAACAGTTGACAAAATAGTTTCACTCCTGAGAGATAGAGAACCATTTTGAATTATAAGGGAATATTTTCTGTCAGAAATTTTCAAAATAGCTAATCATCAAATCCTTCTTCCAGGATTCCATCCACCAACCGTTTCTTGTCCTGAATGAAGGCATCGGGTTCTGGAGTGTTCCGGATCTGGTACACGGGGGACTGGGCACGCATAGGCTTTCTTCCTCCTGACAATTGATCTGATGCTTTGGTGGGTTGTCTCCCTTGCCGTGGCATGTGCCGGGTCTGAGCGGGTTCCTCTGTAACATCTGGCTTCTTCTCCTCCACCGCGGAGGAACTCTTGCCTCCAGCTGGGGAGGAAGGACATTGATATTCAATATGGACTTCAACTGACGCTAGTTTCTGTTGCTGAGTATTATATCTATGAAGCACCTGTCTCTGAGTGAACAGTCTATGATTCCGTCTGCTCCATATTGAAAGGATCTTCTACTAGTAACAAATTATTTCACATATTTGGTACGTTTTCCCATCTAAAACACAAATCAGATAAAAAAGACAACAGACTGGTATAGTGCTTTCAATGTCCTTTCATCACCCACAGAAAAACACTGACACCAACAACTCACGTTTTACGGATCTGCTTGGACGCCTTTTGGAGAAAGCTTCCCGCCGTTGTGAAGATGTGCTATCCCCTCTTTTCATCTCAAGAGAGCTGTCTTGCTCCTCACTATCAGGGGACACAATCTTCAATCTCTTGGCCACGCCCGCTTCCTCCTCTCCATCCTGTACATACAGCAAATATACTCACTGACATAAGAAACGCAACTACCATACATGTTGCTTAATGTTAGATAGGTAAGATATTAGATAGGTTGGACACACAAACGAACATACTGTTAAGGTGTGTGAACCGATGCTCATGAATGCATCACATGTGACGTCATGAGTCAAGGATTAGCGTTTGGAAATCAAGTGCAGCATATAGTAAGAATAAAGATACTCTGTGGTAACACTTGACAGAGTGTTGTTTTGTCAGGAAGTGGTACACATTGGACACATCTCTTCTTAATGTTCATACTTCTCATATATGTTTCTCTGGTTCGTGTTTCTTTTGGTGGTGAGTATAGTTAACAACCCAGATCCCAGAGAAGATCAGGGTTAGAATAGGTCTCCAGTAAACCATGCTTGTCGTAAGATGTGACTAACGGGATGAGGTGGTCTCTGATTCGGCTGATGTATGTCATCGTACCCTGATGGCATGGACCGACGCTCATGATGTCAATAACCAGATTGTCTGGTCCAGACTCAATTATTTACAGACCAATGTCATATAGCTGGAATATTGCTGTGTGGTTTGTTAAACAACAAACAAACAATCAGTCAATTCTATTGCCATGGTCTACGGACTAACTTATTAATTCTGTTGGTCAAAATAAAAATAACAATAAATATATGTAGTTCAATATTTGTTTGATATATGTCATGAAGTCAATTGGGGTAAAATAAATGCAAAACTGTCGAACGTGCAAGATGTTCGTATTTCTGCAGTAATTATCATAGAAACTGCTTGGCTAAAGACAGTATACACTTATAAAAAGGATTTTCGTAATCATTAATAGGTTGTAAACAGTCGCTGAAACACTGCAAACTTAAGGTCCAAAACACAACTTTGATACTCATAGCAAATACATCACCATCGAATAACCATTTCTTGTTTGTTTCATGTCTAGCCACCATCACACATAGGTGAACCCTTTTATCTGCAGTTCTGAGGGGTGGTCAGGTAGCCTGGTGGTTAAAGCGTTCGCTCGTCACGCCTAAAACCTGGGTTCGATTTTCAACATGGGTACAATGTGTTTAGACAATTTCTGGTGTCCCCAGCAGAGATATTGCTGGAATATTGCTAAAAGCGGCGTAAAACCATACTCACTCACTCACTCACCCAGTCACTGTTGACTTCTGAGACTGCTTGGTTCCTGTTCTAACAGGTTTGCAGTGACGGGGCACAACCATCGAACATTTGATCATATGGGCGTATATGTCTCTTATACACTCTTTACCTCCAGCGTTTAATAAAAAAACTTAACAATAGGGCAAACTACTTGCCTAAAAACGACCATGTGGTTTAATTGATACCCAGTATTTTATTGAGATCCCTGCATTTCTTTGATTTTCTGCGTTTATTGGGAAAATATGGTATTTTATTTGGGTATGATTTTTGTAGTTGCATCTTATAATTTGTCTTATCAAACATGGAACATTAACCAATAAAACCCCTAAGCGTCGCCAAACGCCAAATAGAAATGTACACGATTTCTAAGACTGCCACCACTACTACTCACCCTCATGGTCAAGTATTCCTCCCCCTCAAACACCCCGGGGATGGTACTGTTGACCCAGTCGCTCACCCAGTCGTGGAAACTTTCTATCACAGTGACACTCTGCTGCTTCGTCAGGCCAATCTTGTCCCGCAAAATCTTCAGGGCATTTTCCTAGGGGGCCAAAAAATTGCAAAGTATTTCCTGTCACTGTCTGTGTGTAATGGGGGCGGTTGGGTAGCCTAGTTGTTAAAGCGTTCGCTCGTCACGCCAAAGACCCAGGTTCGATTCCCGACATGGGTACAATGTGTGAAGCCCATTTCTGGTGTCCCCCGCTGTGATATTGCTGGAATATTGCCCAAAGCGGCGTAAAACCATACTCATTCACTCACTCACTGTGTGTAATGCCATGCAAAGTGTTCTTCCATTTACAACTTATTGAGGTCTAGTATATTTGTGGGACGTAAGTTATTTCTGTAATGGTTATATATTGTAATGGTAGAAACGTGTTAGTTACCTCATCCTCGGTTGACATCAGGGGCCGTGTGACCCCCAGCCTGTGGAGGAGGTCAGCAAGACTCTCCTTGTCCTTCACACCAGTCAGTTCCACCAGAGCGATGACAGCCTCTTGTCGGACGTTGCGCTGGACAAACAATGATGATTAGTTGCCAATCTACTGTCTGAAGAACACAGGAACCATGGCCCATGTTAATACTCCGTCTCAAACAAACACTGTTTTGTTTGAAGCAAATGCAAGTGATACGAGAGGTTGAATCTGATTGGTCAATAGGAGAGGCATAGAAAGGATATAACTCGTAATAGCCACTAGTGGCACTACGATCGAGCCCAGGAATTCCAGCCTAGTTCTGCAAGGGTGGAAACTGGACTTTTAAAGTCAGTGAACTCTCTTGCCTCGGGAAGATGTGCACACACATACACATGCATGAACACTCACACACGCACACACACACACACACACACACACTCACATACACATGCATGAACACTCACACACGCACGCACACACACACACACACACACACACACACACACACACACACACACACACACACACACACACACACACACACTCATGCACTCACATACACATGCATGAACACTCACGCACGCATGCACACACACACACACATGCATGCACGCACGCACACACACATGCATGCATGTACATATATACGTGCACACACACACACATACGCACAGGCGCACAGATGCAGACACACACACATTCACACATGCACACATAAATAGCACTATATATCAACTGGTTGGACCCTCACACAAGTATGGTGTGTCGTTTCCCCGACCCTGCTAGTTACATTAGGCCAGTCTACTTACTGATGGATCCACGATTTTGGGGAGGATGGCGGTGATGATGTCGTTGGAGTCCATGCCGAGATCACGGAGGGTACGGACACAGTCCGAGCGGATCTCGCTCATCTCACATGTCAGCTGGTCCAGAAGACACTCTTGGAACTTCTTTATCATCGGCTTCGTCATCGGAGTTTCCCTGTGGTGGGCAGCATTGAGTTAGTGAGGTGATGGGTGAGAGGTGGGGAGGGGGGTGAGGTGGGGATATAGAGGAGCGTAGGGGAGGGGGGAGAGGTGGGGATATAGAGGTAGGGGTGGGGAGGGAGAGAGGTGGGGATATAGAGGAAGTGGTGGGGAGGGGGGATAGGTGGGGATATAGAGGTAGGGGAGGGGAGAGGGTGAGGTGGGGATATAGAGGAAGTGGTGGGGAGGGGGGAGAGGTGGGGATATAGAGGTAGGGGAGGGGAGGGAGAGAGGTGGGGATATAGAGGTAGGGGTGGGGAGGGAGAGAGGTGGGGATATAGAGGTAGGGGAGGGGAGGGAGAGAGGTGGGGATATAGAGGTAGGGGTGGGGAGGGGGGAGAGGTGGGGATATAGAGGTAGGGGTGGGGAGGGGGAGAGGTGGGGATATAGAGGTAGGGGTGGGGAGGGGGGAGAGGTGGGGATATAGAGGTAGGGGAGCGGAGAGGTGAGGTGGGGATATAGAGGAAGGGGTGGGGAGGGGGGGAGGTTGGGATATAGAGGTAGGGGAGGGGAGTCGGAGAGGTGGGGATATGGAGGAAGGGGTGGGGAGGGGGGGAGAGGTGGGGATATAGAGGTAGGGGTGGGGAGGGGGGAGAGGTGGGGATATAGAGGAAGTGGTGGGGAGGGGGGAGAGGTGGGGATATAGAGGTAGGGGTGGGGAGGGGGGAGAGGTGGGGATATAGAGGTAGGGGAGGGGAGAGGGAGAGGTGGGGATATGGAGGAAGGGGTGGGGAGGGGGGGAGAGGTGGGGATATAGAGGTAGGTGTGGGGAGGGAGGTGGGGAAATAGAGGAAGGGGTTGGGATGGGGGAGAGGTGGGGATATAGAGCTAGGGGTGGGGAGGGGGAGAGGTGGGGATATAGAGCTAGGGGTGGGGAGGGGGGAGAGGTGGGGATATAGAGGTCGGGGTGGGGAGGGGGAGGGGTGGGGATATAGAGCTAGGGGTTGGGAGGGGGGAGAGGTGGGGATATAGAGGTAGAGGTGGGGAGGGGGGAGAGGTGGGGATATAGAGGAAGGGGTGGGGACGGGGAGAGGTGGGGATATAGAGGTAGGGGTGGGGAGGGGGGAGAGGTGGGGATATAGAGGTAGGGGTGGGGAGGGGGGAGAGGTGGGGATATAGAGGTAGGGGTGGGGAGGGGGGGAGGTTGGGATATAGAGGTAGGGGAGGGGAGTGGGAGAGGTGGGGATATAGAGGAAGGGGTGGGGAGGGGGGGAGAGGTGGGGATATAGAGGTAGGGGTGGGGAGGGGGGAGAGGTGGGGATATAGAGGAAGGGGTGGGGAGGGGGGAGAGGTGGGGATATAGAGGTAGGGGTGGGGAGGGGGGAGAGGTGGGGATATAGAGGTAGGGGAGGGGAGAGGGAGAGGTGGGGATATGGAGGAAGGGGTGGGGAGGGGGGGAGAGGTGGGGATATAGAGGTAGGGGTGGGGAGGGAGGTGGGGAAATAGAGGAAGGGGTTGGGAGGGGGGAGAGGTGGGGATATAGAGCTAGGGGTGGGGAGGGGGAGAGGTGGGGATATAGAGCTAGGGGTGGGGAGGGGGGAGAGGTGGGGATATAGAGGTCGGGGTGGGGAGGGGGAGAGGTGGGGATATAGAGCTAGGGGTTGGGAGGGGGGAGAGGTGGGGATATAGAGGTAGAGGTGGGGAGGGGGGAGAGGTGGGGATATAGAGGAAGGGGTGGGGAGGGGGAGAGGTGGGGATATAGAGGTAGGGGTGGGGAGGGGGGAGAGGTGGGGATATAGAGGTAGGGGTGGGGAGGGGGGAGAGGTGGGGATATAGAGGTAGGGGTGGGGAGGGGGAGAGGTGGGGATATAGAGCTAGGGGTGGGGAGGGGGGAGAGGTGGGGATATAGAGGTCGGGGTGGGGAGGGGGAGAGGTGGGGATATAGAGGTAGGGATGGGCAGGGAGGTGGGAATATAGAGGTAGGGGATGGGGAGAGTGGGGAGCGGGGGGAGGGGTGGGGAGAGGATTGAGAAGGGGAGAGGGCTTTAGCTCCTTCAGGGCCCCTATAACAATCATGGTATTCTTACTCATGTAGAGCAACGATGTAGTCGCAGATCTTGCCATGGACAGCAGGTGTCTTCCCGAACGCTGCGAGCATCTCAAGGAGTTTTTGGACTGCGGGGCTGACTTCCAGTGGAGTGTCACTTGGGAACCAATCCTCTGCCAGGAGGCGCCGCAGCAGGTCCATGTCGACCGCCACCACGGGCTTGCGTTTCGGCGTGTCCTTCTCCTTCTTCGCTGTGTCTCCAGACTACAACACAAACACCACAGACAGATAACAGTTGGAGCCTTTGAGTATGTTATCACTGACACATCTTCCTGAGGCAAGAGAGTTACCAGTTTCCACCCTTGCCGAACTAGGCCGGGATTATGGAGTTATATTTTGGCTGGACTAACGAGCCTATGCATAACCCAATCCGATTTCTCGTAACAAAGTCAACATTTGGTTTGTAAACAACATGGATTTCAATGTGCAGATTTCGGTTGACTGCAAGATTTGCAAAGGATGTGTCCCGTCAACTGGTCATCAACAGATGTTTTCCAAATCCTTTCATGTTTTAAATGAAGGTACTCACGTGATTTGATGCACTTCACGAGGTAAGACACGTTTTATTACAATATATATCTTGATCATCATCTTGACAGGGAGCCATCATTTTGTTTTTAGCAAATGCAAGAAAAATGAGAGATGGAATCTGATTGGTCAATAGGAGGAACATGGAAAGGACATAATTGGTAATAGCCACTGGTCTCCACCCCTACGATCGAGCTGAGAAATTCCAGCCTAGTTTGGCAAGGGTGGAAACTGGACTTTTAGAATAAGTTAACTCACTTGCCTCGGGTAGATGTGATTGACACTGGGGAAGTGCATCTCAGCCTGGAGACTCGGATCAGTGGATAAACTTCACCTCTCTTACAACAGTGAATCTCAATACCTCTGGACAAAGATGTTGCCCTTAATGCCGAGCACCAAACAGGGTAACAACAAGTACCATCTTTTAAAGTCTTTTGGATCGAACCCCAGACCTTCCGTTCTCTGGTCAGACGCTCTACCGCAAGACCGCGAGGTGGTCTGGTCATCATGCACAGTGTTCTTACACTATTGGGTTTTCAATTTAATCATGCATACAGTATACTACGGTTATAACGAACTCAAATCGACCACTAATGTTAGTTCATTATGACCGTAGTTCCTTATAAGCATACATACAACATCTATACAGCAAACGGCCAGGACCAAAAAGTAAGTTCGTTCTATCTGTCAGTTCGTTACAAGCGTGTTCGTTATCAACGTATTTTACTGTATTTGTACGAAAGCTACTCAAAATTAATTGGGTCATGGTGGTTTAGTTTCCTTATTTATGCAAATATTCAGCTAATCTGGAACTATCTGGAATACATAATGACTTTAAGTTCTACTATTTACTTTGACATATCACAGCTGAGCCAGAACAAAACCCACTGTTGGCCGGTAGACTGAATGAAGTGTTGATTTAAACACACAAGCATAAAGGCTGCTGGCGCTGTCGGATCAGTATATGAGGCCATCCTGTGATGAAAGCAAGGGCTTCTCCATCTTGGAGGTAACAGAGCGATATAAGCCTTTGAGATCACCTGTGTTGGAACCTGGGTCTCTTCCACTGGTGAAATGTGTCTGGGAATTGACCTCTGTTTGACAACTTCTGGTGCTGCCAAGACTTCCGGCGCCACCTTGCTGGAAGGTTTGTCTGGCTTTGGTGAGGGAGGACGTTTGCCATAGCTTGCAGGCTTGTCTGGAAAAAAAAAGGTGGCAAAATTAACCACCGAATTAAGGAGGAATTGAATGGAATGAATATCAGATCTTAGATAATCTCATTAAAATCAGATGTTTTACCCCAGCATGGTACCTCTCTGTGTGAAGAACCAGAGGTCATCGGGTGAACCCTGAACTTTGACCAACGAATCTAAATGAAGGATGCGTTAGCTCTTGGACAATCAGATGTCTGCTTTCTATAATGATCTGGATTCATTTCCTTGCCACCTTGAATCAGAAAATTTGATTTACACAGAAGAAAATCCCAACAGAAGACTTATATTTCCTCGAGTAGAAACCTCAGCACTGATTGGTTGAATAGACAGTTAACCTGTTACAAGAATGAATCTTAGACTTCATACTCTGAAACTCCCTTGGCTGTAGGGAATCGGGAGGGTCATAAAAAATATAACACATACTTTAATAGTGAGTGAGTGAGTGAGTGAGTGAGTGAGTGAGTGGGTGGGTGGGTGAGTGAGTGAGTGAGTGAGTGAGTGAGTGAGTGAGTGGGTGGGTGGGTGGGTTGGTGGCTGGGTGAGTGAGTGAGTGAGTGAGTGAGTGAGTGAGTGAGTGAGTGAGTGAGTGGGTGAGTGGGTGAATGGGTGGGTGAATGGGTGGGTGAGTGAGTGAGTGAGTGAGTGGACTATGTTATTCCAGTTGCATGACAATATGTCAGCTTCACAGTCATCCTTCACATCCTTTTCCAACACTTCTAAAACTTTAATGTCTGTATACAATAGGGACAGTGTGATAGGGTCTGGTGTCATGTAGAGAGTTAACGGACAATGAGGACATGGTGATAGGGTCTGGTGTCATGTGGAGAGTTAACGGCCAGTAAGGACATGGTGATAGGGTCTGGTGTCATGTGGAGAGTTAACAGACAATAGGGACATGGTGATAGGGTCTGGTGTCATGATGAGAGTTAACGGCCAGTGAGGACATGGTGATAGGGTCTGGTGTCATGATGAGAGTTAACGGCCAGTGAGGACATGGTGATAGGGTCTGGTGTCATGATGAGAGTTAACGACCAGTGAGGACATGGTGATAGGGTCTGGTGTCATGATGAGAGTTAACGGCCAGTGAGGACATGGTGATAGGGTCTGGTGTCATGTGGAGAGTTAACGGCCAGTGAGGACATGGTGATAGGGTCTGGTGTCATGTGGAGAGTTAACGGCCAGTAAGGACATGGTGATAGGGTCTGGTGTCATGTGGAGAGTTAACAGCCAGTGAGGACATGGTGATAGGGTCTGGTGTCATATGGAGAGTTAACGGCCAGTGAGGACATGGTGATAGGGTCTGGTGTCATATGGAGAGTTAACGACCAGTGAGGACATGGTGATAGGGTCTGGTGTCATGTGGAGAGTTAACGGCCAGTGAGGACATGGTGATAGGGTCTGGCATCATGTAGAGAGTTAACGGCCAGTGAGGACATGGTGATAGGGTCTGGTGTCATATGGAGAGTTAACGACCAGTGAGGACATGGTGATAGGGTCTGGTGTCATGTGGAGAGTTAACGGCCAGTGAGGACATGGTGATAGGGTCTGGCATCATGTAGAGAGTTAACGGCCAGTGAGGACATGGTGATAGGGTCTGGTGTCATGTGGAGAGTTAACGGCCAGTGAGGACATGGTGATAGGGTCTGGCATCATGTGGAGAGTTAACAGCCAGTGAGGACACGGTGATGGGGTCTGGCATCATGTGGAGAGTTAACGGCCAATGAGGACATAGTGATAGGGTCTGGTGTCATGTGGAGAGTTAACGGCCAGTAAGGACACGGTGATAGGGTCTGGCATCATGTGGAGAGTTAACGGCCAGTAAGGACATGGTGATAGGGTCTGGTGTCATGTGGAGAGTTAACGGCCAGTGAGGACATGGTGATAGGGTCTGGTGTCATGTGGGGAGTTAACGGCCAGTGAGGACATGGTGATAGGGTCTGGTGTCATGTGGAGAGTTAACGGCCAGTGAGGACATGGTGATAGGGTCTGGTGTCATGTGGAGAGTTAACGGCCAGTGAGGATATGGTGATAGGGTCTGGTGTCATATGGAGAGTTAACGGACAATGAGGACATGGTGATAGGGTCTGGTGTCATGTGGAGCCTGAAAGGCAGGAAACAAATTGGTAGAAATTATTTTTCTTAATATTTCTCTTAAAATGGAGAGCACAGATTAAAGACATGATAAAAAGCAACTTGATAAGGAATAACTAAATGGTCACTGCAAAAATAGAAACCTGTAGGAGTCAGTAAATGGTGATGAAAGCGACATGTGTTTCTGAAATAAAGATGGATTAACTACCTTCCACACTCGGCAAATACAATACAATCCTCATACCAGGGAAGACAATAACCCTGTCCTCCTTCCACAGAATAAAGTAACAGCTAGGACATCAGCAAGGACGTGTGGCTGTACTTCAAGGCGTGTCATTCCACGTCACTCCAAGTTCCTAGAAAGTGCACTGGGTATGTGATTCAAATGACAAATTGCAGTCTGCCAGTAAACCCTCTACAATGGTGGCCGGCCACACTCTGTCAGTCGTCTTGTTTTAATTACTTCCAGACTTGGTTCACAGGTTACAGACCTAGGTCTTTTTTTTAATTAATTAAGGTGAAAGAAAGAAAAAGAAAGAAAACAATATTTTGGCTTTCTGTTAAATTTGGTGACTTGTGATGAAAGAACTTCATGTCACCAGTCAAGGGAAGTAACTCTTTGTTATTCAAGACTCACTTTTCGCACACTATATAATTTCGTTGCTATTTCACCATTCTGCCAAAGCTTTGTGTTTCTTGGCATCATCACTAACTAATGAAACGAATATCCTAGTCCTAGTCTATAATAGTGGGCAAGTCCAGATAACTCCTGTTGAAATGAAGATACTCTCTGCTCCTGGTTATTATATTTTATTAAGATAATTCAACAACTATTTTCCAGTAAAATACTTGCATTCAAATACAAGATGTAGTCTGGTAATATTCTCAGATTATCTTAACATGTTTCTAGCATTCCAAATGTTTCCCCCTCTCATATGGTGTTCAGCTCATTCCTTCTCATCGATAAAAAGTGAGACAAAATGCAAAGTAACTAAAACAATAGGTCTGAAAGTAATTATGTTTTGCACATCCCTGTCTGTTTGGATAAGTCTTTCTTAGGGAACGATCATTTGATATTCAGCGGGGGCCTGGTATTTTATCAAAAAAACAAACTAGTTCCCAAAAATTCTTGACAAAAATGATTATGCTTCAGATTGTTGAAAGAAATTGTCATACATATTACATTGTTGCAAGGTCTGTTTCTCAAAAAAAATTCAGGCTCATGATTTTAAATAAAGTTTTTTGTTTTTTCTAGCTGTAGCTGAAGAATATCTTATTTTGATAAAAAATCCCCTCCTCACAAAGAATTTTAGATGGTCGGTCCCTCACGGTTCGAGCACCATTTTGTTGTCTCAACATTTGGAAGGTTTACAGTGAAACAACCTGTAACATATAACATGGTTACCGACTCATGACTTGATCATATCTCACCTGTCATAATTTCCATGCCTTAATCAATATCAGGTGTGATTGACAGCCAGCTGATTGTATGACTGAATGACCCATCACAGACTCTATACAATCAGCTCCGGGGCAGGGTGTCTACCCTGATGTTTATCTCAATAGACATGTGCCATGCGGTACAGAGGGACAGGGGGGACAAATGACTGAATGAACTGACTGGCACTGACTTTATTAAACCAGAATGATAAATATGTTGGCAGGTATGTTAGGATGTTGAAGCTGTAGTACATAGTGTTGGACATAATAATTTGAACATTATATTGTTTGAGGAATAAAAAATTCATGTCATAAAACTGAAATGAAGATTTTATTCTGGGCTTGTAGAGGATATACACTGACAAACATAAACTGTTTTCTATTCATGCAGTAGAGTGAGTGAGTGAGTGAGTGAATGAGTGAGTAAGTGAGTGAGTGAGTGAGTGAGTGAGTGAGTGAGTGAGTGAGTGAGTGAGTAAGTGAGTTCATGGGTACTGTGTTGACTTTGCATTGTAAATTCACAAAAAGCTAATATTGTTCATCGATCGAGTATGATATGAAATCACACAGCAGACAAGGAAAGCCATTACGGACATGCCAAAGTAACAATCACATTAGTCAACTGTTACTAAGCTTGAAGAAAAGAAGAGAAATGGAAGCAATTATTACAGAACAAGGGAAATGATTTGTTTTGTTGCACTTGTTACACACTAAGGCATAAACACAATCTACCTATACCACAGTATTGATTGACAGTCAAAGCTCTGGGTGACTTATAAGTGTAAACATTAGCATGTGGTGTTCTGGATGGCTAGTCCTGTACATTAGCTAGTGGTGTTCTTGTCCTGTACATTAGCTAGTGGTGTTCTGGATGGCTAGTCCTGTACATTAGCTAGTGGTGTTCTTGTCCTGTACATTAGCCTGTGGTGTTCTGGATGGCTGGTCCTGTACATTAGCTAGTGGTGTTCTGGGTGGCTAGTCCTGTACATTGGCTAGTGGTGTTCTGGGTGGCTAGTCCTGTATATTGGCTAGTGGCGTTCTGGGTGGCTAGTCCTGTACATTGGCCTGTGGTGTTCTGGATGGCTGGTCCTGTACATTGGCTAGTGGTGTTCTGGGTGGCTAGTCCTGTACATTGGCTAGTGGTGTTCTGGATGGTTAGTCCTGTACATTAGCCTGTGGTGTTCTGGATGGCTGGTCCTGTACATTGGCTAGTGGTGTTCTGGGTGGCTAGTCCTGTACATTGGCTAGTGGTGTTCTGGGTGGCTAGTCCTGTATATTGGCTAGTGGCGTTCTGGGTGGCTAGTCCTGTACATTGGCTAGGGGTGTTCTGGATGGTTAGTCCTGTATATTGGCTAGTGGTGTTCTGGGTGGCTAGACCTGTACATTAGCTAGTGGTGTTCTGGATGGTTAGTCCTGTACATTAGCTAGTGGTGTTCTGGATGGTTAGTCCTGTACATTAGCTAGTGGTGTTCTGGGTGGCTAGTCCTGTACATTGTCTAGTGGTGTTCTGAGTGGCTAGTCCTGTACATTAGCATGTGGTATTCTTGGTGGCTAGTCCTCTACATTAGCTAGTGGTGTTTTTGGTGGCTAGTCCTGTACATTAGCTAGTGGTGTTCTGGATGGCTAGCCCTGTACATTAGCTAGTGGTATTCTTGGTGGCTAGTCCTGTACATTAGCTAGTGGTGTTTTTGGTGGCTAGTCCTGTACATTAGCATGTGGTATTCTTGGTGGCTAGTCCTCTACATTAGCTAGTGGTGTTTTTGGTGGCTAGTCCTGTACATTAGCTAGTGGTGTTCTGGATGGCTAGTCCTGTACATTAGCTAGTGGTGTTCTTGTCCTGTACATTAGCTAGTGGTGTTCTGGATGGCTAGCCCTGTACATTAGCTAGTGGTATTCTTGGTGGCTAGTCCTGTACATTAGCATGTGGTATTCTTGGTGGCTAGTCCTCTACATTAGCTAGTGGTGTTTTTGGTGGCTAGTCCTGTACATTAGCTAGTGGTGTTCTGGATGGCTAGTCCTGTACATTAGCTAGTGGTGTTCTTGTCCTGTACATTAGCTAGTGGTGTTCTGGATGGCTAGCCCTGTACATTAGCTAGTGGTATTCTTGGTGGCTAGTCCTGTACATTAGCATGTGGTATTCTTGGTGGCTAGTCCTCTACATTAGCTAGTGGTGTTTTTGGTGGCTAGTCCTGTACATTAGCTAGTGGTGTTCTGGATGGCTAGTCCTGTACATTAGCTAGTGGTGTTCTTGTCCTGTACATTAGCTAGTGGTGTTCTGGATGGCTAGCCCTGTACATTAGCTAGTGGTATTCTTGGTGGCTAGTCCTGTACATTAGCTAGTGGTGTTCTTGGTGGCTAGTCCTGTACATTAGCTAGTGGTGTTCTTGTCCTGTACATTGGCTAGTGGTGTTTTGGATGGCTAGTCCTGTACATTAGCTAGTGGTGTTCTGAATGGCTAGGCCTATATATTAGCTAGTTGTGTTCTGGATGGCTAGTCTTGTACATTGGCTAGTGGTGTTCTTGGTGGCTAATCCTGTACATTAGCATCTGCTGATCTAGATGGCTAGTCCTGTACATTTGCTAGTGGTGTTCTGGGTGGCTAGTCCTGTACATTAGCGAATGGTGTTCTCGTCCTGTACATAAGCAGGTGATGTTCTTGTCCTGTACATTAACTGGTGGTGTTCTTGTCCTGTACATTAGCTAGTGGTGTTCTTGTCCTGTACATTAGCTAGTGGTGTTCTTGTCCTGTACATTAGCTAGTGGTGTTCTTGTCCTGTACATTAGCTAGTGGTGTTCTTGTCCTGTACATTAGCTAGTGGTGTTCTTGTCCTGTAAATTAGCTAGTGGTGTTCTTGTCCCGTACATTCGCTAGTTGTGTTCTGCTTCTGTCACTAATAACTTGTACAGAATGCATTATTGTGAATTCAAATTCAATTAACCTTTTTCTTATCAGTAATTGTCAATTCACCATTGTAATCAAGTAAACCCATTGTGTCCTGCAGTGATGCATGATGAGGCTCTATATAAGTCTACAATAAAGCCAATGATGGTTTGTTAAGTACATTTGACATTCATGAACAGTTTATCAACATTTCCAATGTCATTTTACTGATAACATAGGAATATATGTTTTGATACACATATTGAAATTGAAAACTTCAATACTTAATCCAATAGGGTAACAACCAGTGGAGACCATTCATGGATTTTCTCTAGGATGGTATCGCTGACACATTGTTATATTTAATGGAGAAACCATGACACCGAAGGAATGGTATGATTGTATAACCAGGTAGGCACAGAAAAGCCGAGGACAGTTGTTATCGCGGGCCGCTGCGCGGACTGCACTTGCAGAAGAGGGCTGTACGTGCAGAAAGAACCGCGTGCGTCGTACCACATGGCATTGTGTCGTTGACTGTTCACAAGAGAGGATGTCTGACGATGACGATATTTGCCTTACTCAAAGTAAGTTAATTGATGAAAATTCTTCAGAAAAGGATGAGGATGACTTTTGTTTCCGTTTTGGTGACCCTTTGTCAGATGATGAAGTTGCTAAAAATTGCTCCCCAGGTTTTACAATTGCTCCCCAGGTTTTACAATTGCAATTGTAAAACCTGGGGAGCAATTGTAAAACCTGAGGAGCAATTGTAAAACCTGCTGAGTGGTCTTACTACAAAAGAAAGGTCGTCTGGGAGATGGTTACAACACCATGATAGGTTTATAAGCGGAGTGAAACACCACTGACTCAGTCACTAACACCAGCTGTATACTCACGTGTATACTCTCCTGCAGCAGGCTTGACGTGGATCTTGGAGGCGTGGCTGGTGAGGGAGGGGGCGGGGGAGCTGGTGTATGTCGGGGACCGCGTGGTTTTCGACTCATTCTCCCCCTCGTCATCATCATTATCATCCCACACGAACGTCTTCCCTGACTGTGAGACAAAGCAGCACGTACAGTATAAGGCTGCATACACTTCCAGGGAGTCCCATACCCCTCCCTTACATATAGACAGTACCATTCCCCTCCCTTACATATAGGCAGTACCATTCCACCTCTAACATATTGGCAGTACCATTCCCCTCCCTTACATATAGGCAGTACCATTCCACCTCTAACATATTGGCAGTACCATTCCCCTCCCTTACATATAGGCAGTACCATTCCACCTCTAACATATAGGCAGTACCATTCCCCTCCCTTACATATAGGCAGTACCATTCCACCTCTAACATATTGGCAGTACCATTCCCCTCCCTTACATATAGGCAGTACCATTCCACCTCTAACATATAGGCAGTACCATTCCCCTCCCTTACATATAGGCAGTACCATTCCACCTCTAACATATTGGCAGTACCATTCCCCTCCCTTACATATAGGCAGTACCATTCCACCTCTAACATATAGGCAGTACCATTCCCCTCCCTTACATATAGGCAGTACCATTCCACCTCTAACATATTGGCAGTACCATTCCCCTCCCTTACATATAGGCAGTACCATTCCACCTCTAACATATAGGCAGTACCATTCCCCTCCCTTACATATAGGCAGTACCATTCCACCTCTAACATATAGGGAATCCCACAAATAATCATCTTTAAACACATAGGGATGAATCCATTTAATGTTTCCCCACATATGCAGTAATCTGTTTCAATGTTTCTATGACATAACTGTTCCAAAACACAACGTAAACATGCAAGAATCTATCTCTGACAAATGTAAAATATGAACAATAAGCAACAAACTTCCTATCTAGATGATGCCTAGTAATGATGCCCCCTCACTCATCATCTCACCATGCCACCTCACTCATCATCTCACCATGCCACCTCACTCATCATCTCACCATGCCACCTCACTCATCATCTCACCATGCCACCTCACTCATCATCTCACCATGCCACCTCACTCATCATCTCACCATGCCACCTCACTCATCATCTCACCATGCCACCTCACTCATCATCTCACCATGCCACCTCACTCATCATCTCACCATGCCCCCTCACTCATCATCTCACCATGCCCCCTCACTCATCATCTCACCATGCTACCTTACCCATCATCTCACCATGCCACCTCACTCATCATCTCGCTGTGCTACCTAACTCATCATCTCGCTGTGCCACCTCACTCATCATCTCGCTGTGCCACCTCACTCATCATCTCACCATGCTACCTCACTCATCATCTCGCTGTGCCACCTTACTCAACATCTCACCATGCTACCTTACTCATCATCTCGCTGTGCTACCTCACTCATCATCTCGCTGTGCTACCTCACTCATCATCTCGCTGTGCCACCTCACTCATCATCTCACCATGCTACCTCACTCATCATCTCGCTGTGCTACCTTACTCAACATCTCACCATGCTACCTTACTCATCATCTCGCTGTGCTACCTCACTCATCATCTCGCTGTGCTACCTCACTCATCATCTCGCTGTGCTACCTCACTCATCATCTCGCTGTGCTACCTCACTCATCATCTCGCTGTGCTACCTCACTCATCATCTCGCTGTGCTACCTCACTCATCATCTCGCTGTGCTACCTCACTCATCATCTCGCTGTGCCACCCCACTCATCACCTCTGTGTGCTACCCCACTCATCACCTCTCTGTGCTACCCCACTCATCACCTCGCTGTGCTACCCTTGTCATCACCTCGGTGTTCTACCCCACTCATCACCTCGGTGTGCTACCTCACTTATCACCTTGCTGTGCTACCCCACTCATCACCTCGCTGTGCCACCCCACTCATCACCTCGCTGTGCTACCCTTGACATCACCTCTCTGTGCTACCCCACTCATCACCTCGCTGTGCCACCCCACTCATCACCTCGCTGTGCTACCCTTGTCATCACCTCACTGTGCTACCTCACTCATCACCTCGCTGTGCCACCCCACTAATCACCTCTGTGTGCTACCCCACTCATCACCTTGATGTGCTACCCCACTCATCACCTCGCTGTGCTATACCACTCATCACCTCGCTGTCCTACCCCACTCATCACCTCGCTGTGCCACCCCACTCATCACCTCGCTGTGCCACACCACTCATCACCTCGCTGTGCTACCCTTGTCATCACCTCTCTGTGCTACCCCACTCATCACCTCGCTGTGCCACCCCACTCATCACCTCTGTGTGCTACACCACTCATCACCTCGCTGTGCTACCCTTGTCATCACCTCGGTATGCTACCCCACTCATCACCTCGTTGTGCTACCCCACTCATCACCTCGCTGTGCTACCCCACTCATCACCTCACTGTGCTACCCCACTCATCACCTCACTGCGCTACCCTTGTCATCACCTCGCTGTGCTACCCCACTCATCACCTCACTGTGCTACCCTTGTCATCACCTCGCTGTGCTACCCCACTCATCACCTCTCTGTGCTACCTCACTCATCACCTTGCTGTGCTACCCTACTCATCACCTCGCTGTGCCACCCCACTCATCACCTCGCTGTGCCACCCCACTCATCACCTCGCTGTGCTACCCTTGTCATCACCTCGGTGTGCTATCACACTCATCACCTCTCTGTGCTACCTCACTCATCACCTCGCTGTGCTACCCCACTCATTACCTCGCTGTGCCACCCCACTGATCACCTCGCTGTGCCACCCCACTCATTACCTCGCTGTGCCACCCCACTCATCACCTCGCTGTGCTACCCCACTCATCACCTCGCTGTGCCACCCCACTCATCACCTTGCTGTGCTACCCCACTCATCACCTCTCTGTGCTACCCTACTCATCACCTCTCTGTGCTACCCTACTCATCACCTCTCTGTGCTACCCTTGTCATCACCTCTCTGTGCTACCCGTGTCATCACCTCTCTGTGCTACCCTACTCATCACCTCTCTGTGCCACTCCACTCATCACCTCGCTGTGCTACCCTACTCATCACCTCTCTGTGCTACCCCACTCATCACCTCTCTGTGCTACCCTACTCATCACCTCTCTGTGCTACCCCACTCATCACCTCTCTGTGCTACCCTTGTCATCACCTCTCTGTGCTACCCCACTCATCACCTCTCTGTGCTACCCCACTCATCACCTCTCTGTGCTACCCTTGTCATCACCTCTCTGTGCTACCCCACTCATCACCTCGCTGTGCTACCCTACTCATCACCTCTCTGTGCTACCCTTGTCATCACCTCTCTGTGCTACCCTTGTCATCACCTCACTGTGCTACCCCACTCATCACCTCTCTGTGCTACCCTACTCATCACCTCTCTGTGCTACCCCACTCATCACCTCTCTGTGCTACCCTTGTCATCACCTCTCTGTGCTACCCTACTCATCACCTCTCTGTGCTACCCCACTCATCACCTCTCTGTGCTACCCCACTCATCACCTCGGTGTGTTCCCCCACTCATTCCCTCGCTGTGCCACCCCACTCATCACCTCGCTGTGCTACCCTTGTCATCACCTCATTGTGCTACCCTTGTCATCACCTCGCTGTGCTACCCCACTCATCACCTCTCTGTGCCACCCTACTCATCACCTCTCTGTGCTACCCTTGTCATCACCTCTCTGTGCTACCCCACTCATCACCTCATTGTGCTACCCTTGTCATCACCTGGCTGTGCTATCTTACTCATCACCTGGCTGTGCTACATCACCCCACCTGTGCTGCTCCAGTTCCTCTCATTGTGTCCATGACAATCAATAGCACTGGGGCAAGAGGCAACACACACCAGTAAGACATATATTAAAAATGTACCAATTAATTATGATGAGACGTCAATAGACAATGTAGGTGTAAGGATATTGATGACACTAGGCCTCACTGAAGTCAGTGCTATCTGTCAGAAGGACCAGTATTGTCCCAGATGTAATTTGTCCTCATGGATACTCTCAGAATGACATGCCGGATAAAATCAGTAATTGAGTAATACATAGTTAATGAGTGCTAATCTAAAATAACATATTCCAAGCTTTAATACCCAAGTCAATTGGGAATCAATAGTTAATCCTCACTTGTAACGATTTTCAACGTGGGACTCCATAAAGCTGCACGGAGGTAAACACATGACTGGAGCCAGGCACCCCTTTAAGTCTTTCAATATTCCATCATGAATATTTGAAGCAAATGACAAGCCTGACATTGATTTAGAAAACATTTTCTCCCTAATGTCATATTCTGAAGGCATTCTACTGCTTCTGCTCTCAATCACAGCTTTTGTTTGTTTGTTTGTTATTTAACGCAACACTCAACAATATTCCCGCTATATGACGGCGGTCTGTAAATAATGGAGTCTGGACCAGACATTCCAGTGATTGACATCATGAGCATCGATCCACGCAATTGGGATACGATGACATGCATCAACCAAGACAACGAGCCTGACCGGCCAATCCCGTTATTTGCCTCTTAGTTGCCGCATTGTCACTTTTTATGGCATGCTTGAGTTGCAGAAGACCTATTCTACCCCTGATCTTCACAGGACTTATCACAGCTGGAGGTGTAGCATGTTGTTTCATGGGTTTATCTGGGACATAGGAGGTCTGAGTTTGATTCCTTGATTGATCCATCTTCTGATGAGTACTAACGTTCTCTTTGAAGAGCTGCCAGATACACTAAAGGCAACATACAGTGGAGAGAAAATAAAACAAGAAAATTAAATTTGTTGTATTGTTTATGGATTGCAAGGGCCTGTGTGTGAGAGCAAGGTCCTGTGGAGAGTAAGATCATGTGGAGAATAAGGTCATGTTGAGAGCAAGGTCATGTTGAGAGCAAGGTCATGAGAAGAGCAAGGTCATGTGGACAGCAAGGTCATGTCAAGAGCAAAGTCATGAGGAGAGCAAGGTCATGTGGAGTGCAAGGTCATGTGGAGAGTAAGGTCATGTGGAGAGCAAGGTGAAGTTGAGAGCAAGGTCATGTGGAGAGCAAGGTCATGAGGAGAGCAAGGTCATGTGGAGTGCAAGGTCATGTTGAGAGCAAGGTCATGAGAAGAGCAAGGTCATGTGGACAGCAAGGTCATGTCAAGAGCAAAGTCATGAGGAGAGCAAGGTCATGTGGAGTGCAAGGTCATGTGGAGAGTAAGGTCATGTGGAGAGCAAGGTCATGTGGAGAGCAAGGTCATGTTGAGAGCAAGGTCATGTGGAGTGCAAGGTCATGTTGAGTGCAAGGTCATGTTGAGAGCAAGGTCATGTGAAGAGCAAGGTCATGTCGAGAGCAAAGTCATGAGGACAGCAAAGTCATGAGGAGAGCAAGGTCATGTTGATAGCAAGGTCATGTTGAGAGCAAGGTCATATGAAGAGCAAGGTTATGTGGAGAGCAAGGTCATGTGGAGTGCAAGGTCATGTTGAGAGCAAGGTCATGTGAAGAGCAAGGTCATGTTGAGAGCAAGGCCATGAAGAGAGCAAGGTCATGAGGAGAGCAGGGTCATGTTGAGAGCAAGGTCATGTGGAGTGCAAGGTCATGTTGATAGCAAGGTCATGTCAAGAGCAAGGTCATGAGGAGAGCAAGATCATGTAGAGAGCATGGACATGTGAAGAGCAAGGTCATGTGGAGAGCAAGGTCATGTGGAGTGCATGGTCATGTTGAGAGCAAGGTCTTGAGGAGGGCAAGGTCATGTGGAGTGCAAGGTCATGTTGAGAGCAAGGTTATGTAGAGTGCAAGGTCATGTAGAGAGCAAGGTCATGAGGAGAGCAAGGTCATGTAGAGAGCAAGGTTTTGAGAGCAAGGTCATGTGGAGAGTAAGGTCATGTGGAGAGCAAGGTCATGGGGGCAGCAAGGTCATTTGTGTGGAGAGCAAGGTCAAGTTGAGAGTAAGGTCATGTGGAGAGCAAGGTCATGTGGAGAGCAAGGTCATTAAAAGAGCAAGGTCATGAGGAGAGCAAGGTCATTTGTGTGGAGAGCAAGGTCAAGTGGAGAACATACTGACCCCGAACGATGACACAGACCGCTGACTCCCTGCCTCCATCTCCTCCTCATATGCACGGAGTCTCGCCTCCCACCCTGGGGGCAGGTGGCGTGGATCAGCTCTCGGCACCTGCAGCAACAGCATGGACATTGTGACATCAGTGGGCATTGACACATCAGAAAACTCAATTATCCAAACAAGTTTTTCCTATACAATTAAGCCACCAATTGGGAAGAGTTAACTGTGTAATGAAAGTGGCAGAAAATCAAATGAACTTTTGACCAGATCTGATGAAATCCAAGTATCCTAGATAAATGATGTTCAACTATATGAGACCATATGCAAATCTGATCTAGATTCTCATAGGTCTTCATAACAGGACTGCATATTGATCTAGAATAACTTACCCGTCTTGGTTTCCATGGTGACGGAGTTTGTTGGTCAAAGGCACGACCCTGTCCCAGAATTTTTCGTATCACAGAATTAGGGATGTAACCTGTTCAAGGACAGAAACTGTGTCTCATACATCAACCATGGTCAACCTTTTCCGACAGACTCGTGGTATAAAACCTAACAAGGGATGCATACAAGTACCCTGTGTGATACTGCTACAACTTATAATGTATATTTAAACTTCAGTGCCCCTGATTCTAAAAGGAAGGATGCATGCTTAATTGAACCTGTAGAAATCTCTGCAATTAAATCTTTATATGTTTGAGACCTGAGAACCTAAAGCTACCAGGATCTTCAAATGACCCAATGATGAGCGGAAGGCAGGCTGCTTGCCTGAGGATGAACCTGCAGAGACGTCTAATGTTGTCCTGTTTGACATTCAATTTCAACTGACTCCATTATTCAAAATAAAACCATCTGCTCGAGACAAGGGCGTTAACTGACTATAAAAGTCCAGTTTCCACACTTGCCAAACAAGCCTGAAATTTCTTGGCTCGATCGTAGCGCCACCAGTAGCTATTATGAGATATGTCCCTTCTATGGCCATTCTATTGACCAATCAGATTCCATCGCTCATATCACTTGCATTTGTTTCATACAAAATGGTGTTGCCAAGTCAAGACGATCTGCTTGATAATCAAGATTTATATTGTAATAAAACGGGTCTTACCACACGAAGTGCATCAAATCACACAAGCACCTTGATTAAAAACATGAACGAATTTGCAAAATATCTGTCGACGCCCATTTGGCTACAAATGCTTTGCAAATCCTGCAGTTGATCAAAATCCGCATGTTGAAATCCATGTTGTTTCCCGAATCGGGTGTCTAGTTTGTTACGCAATTTTGATTGGACTATGCATAGACTCGTTAATCCAGCCAAAATGTTACTCCAGAATTGCAGCCTAGCTTGGCAAGGGTGGAAACTGAACTTTTATAGTCAGTTAACTCCCTTGTCTTGGGAAGAGGAATAAAACTGCGTCTTATACATGTTCTACAATTATTTATCATTTGTGAAGTTTTATTTCAAAGTAAGACCTCATGACAGGTCTTCCTGTGTCATGAAGAATCCATCTCTACAATAGCCAACATCCAACACCAAAAACAAAAACGCCATCAGTCTCCCATGTAGAAAATATCCAGGCAGAAACATTCATTACAATGTATATTATGGGCGACTCCATCTATCATGTGCTGACTCACCGTCTGGGGCTATGATAGGCTTCCGTTCCAGCAGTTCTCTCTCCAGTGCCGTTAAGCCAAGATATGGGTCATACACCTGGATCACTGTGAACAGACCGTTTACATAATATGTAAGATATGATACATATAGGCCTTGTGACTGCACAGGTCACTTTACAAATTTTATCTCCTCCCAGAAATTCTCCTTCCTACTTCCCCATCCAAAGTTCTCTCTGAGGACCTCACACCTCCCCTTCTGAATCTCAGCATCTCCAAATCCTCTGCTAATGCTCTTCCCCCTCACTCAAAGCCTCTCCCCACCTCTACATTAACCACCTACCTCTAAGCCGAAGTCTCTAATCCACAAGACCTTCCACCTCTAGGCCCAAGTCTCTCCTACCAAACCCACACCTATGTCCAGCAACGAATCTCTCCTCCAAGTCTCTTCTCCCCCAGGCCACACCTACATCTAGCCATGAATCTCTCTTCCTAGTCTCTCCTCCACAAGCCACACCTACATCTGGCCACGAATCTTTCCTCCAAGTCTCTCCTCCCCGAGGCCACACCTACATCTAGCCATGAATCTCTCCTCCAAGTCTCTCCTCCCCAAGCCACACCTACATCTAGCCATGAATCTCTCCTCCGAGTCTCTACTCCCCAACCCACACCTACATCTAGCCACGAATCTCTCCTCCAAGTCTCTCCTCCCCCAGGCCACACCTACATCTAGCCATGAATCTCTCTTCCTAGTCTCTCCTCCACAAGCCACACCTACATCTGGCCACGAATCTTTCCTCCAAGTCTCTCCTCCCCCAGGCCACACCTACATCTAGCCATGAATCTCTCCTCCAAGTCTCTCCTCCCCAAGCCACACCTACATCTAGCCATGAATCTCTTCTCCGAGTCTCTACTCCCCAACCAACACCTACATCTAGCCACGAATCTCTCCTCCAAGTCTCTCCTCCCCCAGGCCACACCTACATCTAGCCATGAATCTCTCTTCCTAGTCTCTACTCCACAAGCCACACCTACATCTAGCCACGAATCTCTCCTTCAAGTCTCGCCTCCCCAAGCAACACCTACATCTAGCCACGAATCTCTCCTCTGAGTCTCTACTCCACAAGCCACACCTACATCTAGCCACGAATCGCTCCTCTGAGTCTCTACACCCTAAGCCACACCTACATCTAGCCATGAATCTCTCCTCTGAGTCTCTACTCCCCAAGCAACACCTACATCTAGCCACGAATCTCTCCTCCGAGTCTCTACTTCGCAAGCCACACCTACATTTAGCCATGAATCTCTCCTCCAAGTCTCTCCTCCCCCAGGCCACACCTACATCTAGCCACGAATCTCTCCTCCAAGTCTCTCCTCCCCCAGGCCACACCTACATCTAGCCAGGAATCTCTCTTCCTAGTCTCTCCTCCACAAGCCACACCTACATCTAGCCACGAATCTCTCCTCCAAGTCTCTCCTCCCCCAGGCCACACCTACATCTAGCCACGAATCTCTCCTCCAAGTCTCTCCTCCCCAAGCCACACCTACATCTAGCCATAAATTTCTCCTCCTAGTCTCTACTCCCCAAGCCACACCTACATCTAGTCATAAATCCCCCCACCTAGTCTCTCCTCCCCAAGCCACACCTACATCTAGCCATGAATCTCTCTTCCCCAAGCCACACCTATATCTAGCCATGAATCTCTCCTCCCCAAGGCACACCTACATCTGGCCACGAATCTCTCCTCCATGTCTCTCCTCCCAAAGCCACACCAACATCTAGCCACGAATCTCTCCTTCAAGTCTCTCCTCCCCAAGCCACACCTACATCTAGCCACGAATGTCTCCTCCGAGTCTCTACTCAACAAGCCACACCTACATCTAGCCATAAATCTCTCGACCTAGTCTCTCCTCCCCAAGCCACACCTACATCTAGCCATGAATCTATCCTCCCCAAGCCACACCTGTATCTAGCCATGAATCTCTCCACAAGCCACACCTACCCTTAGCCTCCTCATCCAGTTCCTCCCCGATGCCTTCATCATCCTCTTCCACCATCAGCTCCCCTATCTTCCTCATCCTCTTCCTCCCTGCATCCATGACAGCCGCTTTCAAGACTGTGACCGCACGTAGATGTTTCCTCGGCTCATGCACTGACAGAGACAGCTGGTGGAGGATAGTTTCTGAGGACACCAATAAAATTTACTGATTTGATAAATTTCTTAAAATATATCTCACTTAATCTAATTTCAAGTTAAGTTAGTTATTGTTTTTGTAGTTAAAGTCAGTAACAGGTGTATTATTATTAAAGTACTATGAAAGTACCGTAGAGCACAATGTGTCTGTAAATCAGCAGGAAAAGTTTCATCTGGATAAGGTCCACAATAACAAAGACATCCGTTACAAAGTTTGATACAGTAAACCCTCAACTCTTACAAGGTTCACAGTCACAAGGTTCACAATGTTCACTGTCACAAAGTTCACTGTCACAAAGTTCATGGTCACAAGGTTCACTGTCACAAAGTTCATGGTCACAAGGTTCAATGTCACAAGGTTCACTGTCACAAAGTTCACTGTCACAAAGTTCACTGTCACAAGGTTCACTGTCACAAGGTTCACAATGTTCACGGTCACAAGGTTCATGGTCACAAGGTTCACTGTCACAAGGTTCACTGTCACAAAGTTCACTGTCACAGAGTTCACTGTTACAAGGTTCACAATGTTCACGGTCACAAGGTTCATGGTCACAAGGTTCACTGTCACAAGGTTCACTGTCACAAAGTTCACTGTCACAAAGTTCACTGTCACAAGGTTCACTGTCACAAGGTTCACTGTCACAAGGTTCAGTGTCACAAGATTCACGGTCACAAGGTTCATGGTCACACTGTCACAGTTAAAGGGGTTCATGTTATGCATGAAGATCTCACAGGTTGTTTCACTGTTTCAGGTTCAATTGGTGATGTCAACCATTGTTTGAAAGCCAGCCAGCCGACCATGTAATCCATACAGGCTGACTTCATGAGCTATATTGAGTACAAACTGACAAGCCAGTAACCCGACCATGTGTTCCATACAGGCTGACTTCATGAGCTATGTTGGGTACAAACTGACAAGCAAGCAACCCGACCATGTGTTCATTAATGGCTGACTTCATGAGCTGTGTTGGGTACAAACTGACAAGCCAGTAACCCGACCATGTGTTCCATACAGGCTGACTTCATGAGCTGTGTTGGGTACAAACTGACATGGCAGCAACCCGACCATGTGTTCCATATAGGCTGACTTCATGAGCTATGTTGGGTACAAACTGACAAGCAAGCAACCCGACCATGTGTTCATTAATGGCTGACTTCATGAGCTGTGTTGGGTACAAACTGACAAGCCAGTAAGCCGACCATGTGTTCCATACAGGCTGACTTCATGAGCTGTGTTGGGTACAAACTGACAAGCCAGTAACCCGACCATGTGTTCCATACAGGCTGACTGTATGAGCTGTGTTGAGTACAAACTGACAAGCCAGTAACCCGACCATGTGTTCCATACAGGCTGACTTCATGAGCTATATTGAGTACAATCTGACAAGCCAGTAACCCGACCATGTGTTCCATACAGGCTGACTTCATGAGCTATATTGAGTACAAACTGACAAGCCAGTAACCTGACCATGTGTTCCATACAGGCTGACTTCATGAGCTATGTTGGGTACAAACTGACAAGCCAGTAACCCGACAATGTGTTCCATACAGGCTGACTTCATGAGCTATATTGAGTACAAACTGACAAGCCAGTAACCCGACCATGTGTTCCATACAGGCTGACTTCATGAGCTATGTTGGGTACAAACTGACAAGCCAGTAACCCGACAATGTGTTCCATACAGGCTGACTTCATGAGCTATATTGAGTACAAACTGACATGGCAGCAACCCGACCATGTGTTCCATACAGGCTGACTGTATGAGCTGTGTTGGGTACAAACTGACAAGCCAGTAAGCCGACCATGTGTTCCATACAGGCTGACTTTATGAGCTATGTTGGGTACAAACTGACAAGCCAGTAACCCGACCATGTGTTCCATACAGGCTGACTTCATGAGCTATATTGAGTACAAACTGACAAGCCAAGACACCTGACCATGTGTTCCATATAGGCTGACTTCATGAGCTATGTTGGGTACAAACTGACAAGCCAGTAACCCGACCATGTGTTCCATACAGGCTGACTTCATGAGCTATATTGAGTACAAACTGACTAGCCAGTAACCCGACCATGTGTTCCATACAGGCTGACTTCATGAGCTATGTTGGGTACAAACTGACAAGCCAGTAACCCGACCATGTGTTCCATACAGGCTGACTTCATGAGCTATGTTGGGTACAAACTGACAAGCCAGTAACCCGACCATGTGTTCCATACAGGCTGACTTCATGAGCTGTGTTGGGTACAAACTGACAAGCCAGTAACCCGACCATGTGTTCCATACAGGCTGACTTCATGAGCTGTGTTGGGTACAAACTGACAAGCCAGTAACCCGACCATGTGTTCCATACAGGCTGACTTCATGAGCTATATTGAGTACAAACTGACAAGCCAGTAACCTGACCATGTGTTCCATACAGGCTGACTTCATGAGCTATATTGAGTACAAACTGACAAGCCAGTAACCCGACCATGTGTTCCATACAGGCTGACTTCATGAGCTATATTGAGTACAAACTGACAAGCCAGTAACCTGACCATGTGTTCCATACAGGCTGACTTCATGAGCTATATTGAGTACAAACTGACAAGCCAGTAACCCGACCATGTGTTCCATACAGGCTGACTTCATGAGCTATGTTGGGTACAAACTGACAAGCCAGTAACCCGACAATGTGTTCCATACAGGCTGACTTCATGAGCTATATTGAGTACAAACTGACATGGCAGCAACCCGACCATGTGTTCCATACAGGCTGACTTTATGAGCTGTGTTGGGTACAAACTGACAAGCCAGTAAGCCGACCATGTGTTCCATACAGGCTGACTTTATGAGCTGTGTTGGGTACAAACTGACAAGCCAGTAACCCGACCATGTGTTCCATACAGGCTGACTTCATGAGCTATATTGAGTACAAACTGACAAGCCAAGACACCTGACCATGTGTTCCATATAGGCTGACCTCATGAGCTATGTTGGGTACAAACTGACAAGCCAGTAACCCGACCATGTGTTCCATACAGGCTGACTTCATGAGCTATATTGAGTACAAACTGACAAGCCAGTAACCCGACAATGTGTTCCATACAGGCTGACTGTATGAGCTGTGTTGGGTACAAACTGACAAGCCAGTAAGCCGACCATGTGTTCCATACAGGCTGACTTCATGAGCTATATTGAGTACAAACTGACAAGCCAGTAACCCGACCATGTGTTCCATACAGGCTGACTTCATGAGCTATGTTGGGTACAAACTGACAAGCCAGTAACCCGACCATGTGTTCCATACAGGCTGACTTCATGAGCTATGTTGGGTACAAACTGACAAGCCAGTAACCCGACAATGTGTTCCATACAGGCTGACTGTATGAGCTGTGTTGGGTACAAACTGACAAGCCAGTAAGCCGACCATGTGTTCCATACAGGCTGACTTTATGAGCTGTGTTGGGTACAAACTGACATGGCAGCAACCCGACCATGTGTTCCATACAGGCTGACTGTATGAGCTGTGTTGGGTACAAACTGACAAGCCAGTAAGCCGACCATGTGTTCCATACAGGCTGACTTTATGAGCTGTGTTGGGTACAAACTGACAAGCCAGTAACCCGACCATGTGTTCCATACAGGCTGACTTCATGAGCTATATTGAGTACAAACTGACAAGCAAAGACACCTGACCATGTGTTCCATATAGGCTGACCTCATGAGCTATGTTGGGTACAAACTGACAAGCCAGTAACCCGACCATGTGTTCCATACAGGCTGACTTCATGAGCTATATTGAGTACAAACTGACAAGCCAGTAACCCGACCATGTGTTTGATACAGGCTGACTTCATGAGCTATGTTGGGTACAAACTGACAAGCCAGTAACCCGACCATGTGTTCCATACAGGCTGACTTCATGAGCTATATTGAGTACAAACTGACAAGCCAGTAACCCGACCATGTGTTCGATACAGGCTGACTTCATGAGCTATGTTGGGTACAAACTGACAAGCAAGCAACCCGACCATGTGTTCATTAATGGCTGACTTCATGAGCTGTGTTGGGTACAAACTGACAAGCCAGTAACCCGACCATGTGTTCCATACAGGCTGACTTCATGAGCTGTGTTGGGTACAAACTGACATGGCAGCAACCCGACCATGTGTTCCATATAGGCTGACTTCATGAGCTATGTTGGGTACAAACTGACAAGCAAGCAACCCGACCATGTGTTCATTAATGGCTGACTTCATGAGCTGTGTTGGGTACAAACTGACAAGCCAGTAAGCCGACCATGTGTTCCATACAGGCTGACTTCATGAGCTGTGTTGGGTACAAACTGACAAGCCAGTAACCCGACCATGTGTTCCATACAGGCTGACTTCATGAGCTATGTTGGGTACAAACTGACATGGCAGCAACCCGACCATGTGTTCCATACAGGCTGACTGTATGAGCTGTGTTGAGTACAAACTGACAAGCCAGTAACCCGACCATGTGTTCCATACAGGCTGACTTCATGAGCTATATTGAGTACAATCTGACAAGCCAGTAACCCGACCATGTGTTCCATACAGGCTGACTTCATGAGCTATATTGAGTACAAACTGACAAGCCAGTAACCTGACCATGTGTTCCATACAGGCTGACTTCATGAGCTATGTTGGGTACAAACTGACAAGCCAGTAACCCGACAATGTGTTCCATACAGGCTGACTTCATGAGCTATATTGAGTACAAACTGACAAGCCAGTAACCCGACCATGTGTTCCATACAGGCTGACTTCATGAGCTATGTTGGGTACAAACTGACAAGCCAGTAACCCGACAATGTGTTCCATACAGGCTGACTTCATGAGCTATATTGAGTACAAACTGACATGGCAGCAACCCGACCATGTGTTCCATACAGGCTGACTGTATGAGCTGTGTTGGGTACAAACTGACAAGCCAGTAAGCCGACCATGTGTTCCATACAGGCTGACTTTATGAGCTA